CCCTCGCTGTACGCCAGTGGGACTCGCTGATCGCGATCAACTATCCTGCTCGGGCGTTCGGGATAACAAGGATGATTTCCGCGAAGGAAGCCCGAAAGCTATGTCCGGAGATTGTTCTACAGCATGTTGCGACGTTTAGAGAAGGCGAGGGTGGAAAATGGGCGTACAGGGAGGATTCTTACAAGCGTATGAATACGGATAAAGTGTGTTTGGATCCGTATCGGGCGGAATCGCGCAAGATCCTGAAAACGATGAAGGAGGAATTGTCGAGATGGTATACGGACCTGGTTGATGAGGAACGGGGGCTGGGACCACACGCTCAGATACAAAAAGCTAGCGTTGAGAAAGCTAGCGTCGACGAAGTTTTCATCGATCTGTCCCCGCTGGTCTATGGTGTTCTACTTCGACAGTATCCAGAATTGCGAAATGGGCCAGATGGCGATGATCGTGTCGCGTCGCTACCTTGCCCCCCTACAACGGCACTGGAATGGAACCGGGGCGATTGTCTAGTGGACCTAGACGAGAACGAGACGGAAGTGGATGATCCTGATTGGGATGATGTTGTGATGCTTATTGGGTCAGAGATTGTCCGAACGGTTCGCACAGCGGTCTGGGATAGGCTGAGTTATACGTGCTCCGCAGGTATAGCGAAGAACAAGATGATGGCAAAGTTGGGGAGTTCCAGCAACAAACCAAACAAACAGACCATTGTACGCAATCGCGCTATCCAGAACTTCCTTGGGGGTTTCAAGTTCACCAAGATACGAATGCTCGGGGGTAAGCTGGGCGATCAGGTCACAGCTCTGTTTGGGACGGAACAAGTTAGCGATCTTTTACAGGTTACGTTGGAGCAGTTCCGGGCCAAGCTGGATGATGATACTGCTAATTGGCTCTTTGGAATCATCCGCGGCGAGGATAAGAGTGAAGTGAACCCTAGGACACAAATCAAGTCCATGCTCTCCGCCAAGTCTTTCAGACCGAGTATCAACTCCGTCGAGCAGGCGGAAAGATGGTTGCGGATCTTTGCTGCTGACATCTATGGCCGTCTCGTGGAAGATGGTGTGCTTGAGCATCGACGCCGTCCGAAAACCATCGCCTTGCATCATAGACAAGGGGCACAAGTTCGCTCTCGTCAAAGCCCCATACCTGGGTCAACACCTATCGACGAGACATTACTGTTCGATCTCGGGAGAACATTGCTTCGACAGGTCGTCGGTGACGGACGCGCCTGGCCTTGTGCAAACTTGTCAATGAGTGTCGGTGGGTTCGAGGATGGAATTGGCAATCACAAAGCAATAGATTCTTTTCTACTCCGGGAAGACCAGGCCAGAAGTATCGGCCACCCAGCGAAGGGCCGTCTTACGGATCACTTGCCGGAAACGTTACAACCGAGCGAGAAACGGAGGAAAGTCGAAGACGATGGTATAAAACGCTTCTTCAACCAGTCTCCCGGGGTCAACACGAAGCCTCAGCCAGGCGAGGCTGTGTCGGAGACACCAGCGCCGAGCCTGGAAGAGAGTAACGAGAACATACTTCTGTCTGAGGCCTCATGCAATCCTGATATTACAGAAGTTGGATTGGGATTCTATACATGTAGACGGTGCGAAAAACCGCTGCCGGAAGCTGAAAGAGATGAACACGATGACTGGCATTTTGCCAAGGAACTAGAAAGACAAGAAAGACGAGAAGCCATGAAACCCCAGCAGACAACACGTCCGTCCTATAGCACGGGATCTTCCAGCACCCGTGGCAGACCAGGTCGTAATAGCCGGGGCAAGCCTGAGAAAGGGCAGACGCGTCTCGCTTTCTGATAGTACCGTTGGACTTGAAATAGTCACGGTAATCAAACACCCAAGCCGATCGGGACAAAGGAACGACTTTAGTCCCTTCAAGCAAACCCAATAGAGGAGATGTTCCTTTTGATGTTTATATGCATTCGGAGAAACGAAGACCCGTCGCCTTCTTTCCTCCCCCTCTTGCTGATCTCAACGGACCTCATCGTGCAATATTGCATTGTAAGCTATGCGTAATGCTTCAAGAAAGCTGCTGCATCTTTCATAAGCCCCCGAGGAAATTCGTCGTAGATCCCTCGAGCATGTCACACCAATCAAGGGAACAAGAAGCCAGCAGATTCAGAATATTGGAGTTCTTGGCTAAGCCATAACCTCAACCATGGTTCGAGCGTCAATCTTAACTTACGGGAGAAAAAAAGTGAAAGGACTTAATGTAGTTATCGGATTTAGGCTTTTTCGAACTTGACGAGCTAGCAGACGATCATAACGGGTTGGAAATGAAGATGTATAGTAACCTAAAAGAGCAATAAGCGAAGCTATTGGGTGGTTTGGCCCATTTTGGGTCCCGTTGTGCAGCGGTGACATCAGCAAACTCAGCCGCGGGGTTGAATTTCAATTCCAACAGACAGCCATTGTGATTTGACGTTTCAGCGATTTCGCTCTCGCCTACCATAACAGTGCACGTGTCTCACGGATTATTTCCCTATACCCAATATCAGGGCACCTCTATTTTGTGAGAATCAGCAGAGGATTCCGAGTGTCTACAATCATTTTATCACTCTGCACGAGGTGCCCCTCACAGGACGGGTGTAGCAGAAATGTCCAATGAAGGCACCCGATAAAGACCAATTAGCTCCACTTCTAATTTTTTGTTACGGTCAAATTGGGTAATTCGTCTTATTTGCTATTCGATTATTGGGTTACACCATGCCCCGGCGATATCGTGCCCGTGAGTACGACGAGGACATGTACGAAGTTGAACGGGACCATTATCATCGTAAACACCAACATCGACCGCGAGGCGGACGCCATTACAAGGAGGATGCACTCTACGAACAACCTCGAGCTCCCAGTCCCCCACTAGTCGAGGAGTTTGATCGTCTTCGCGTTCGAGACAATGCAGGGCCTGAATTGATCCGCGAACCCACTCGTGAGACATCGAGAGAGCTCCGGAAGGTTAGGGATGACACTTTCAAACGTCGTCGACCACCTCGAAGAGAAGTCGTGGAGGAAGAAGAATATGTCTCCCAAGATGAAGAGTTGACAAGGAGGATGACGGGAAGCGAGTCCGAAGACGAAGTTCCTATCATCCCGAAGAGACGTTCCGCGGCGCGGCGCGGCGACGTACGCGATGAGCTCTCGAAACCTAGAAGCCGTCGTTCGGAATATGAACGGGAGTTACCGCCTAGTGTCGATGAAATGAAGCACGAATACAGAAAAACCCGCAGTGGCCCTCACTATCATGCAGCGCCACGGCTACGGCCTGAGTCTAGCCCTAACACAGACGTAGAGGAGGATGATTATGAAGAGGAAGAAGATGATATTTTAGTTCGGAGAAACAGGCGGCGACGACCTCCAAGAAAAGCTGACCTCCATGAAGACGAAGACAGCACGTCATCCCCGGAATCAGAAGACTCTGCGGATGTTTCTCTCGTTCAGGCGCCTATACGCCGAAGCCCAGCGAAGCGACATGTACACGACCCAGAAGGTGAGCTTGCTGCCTGACACAGACGGTAGCATGATTGTTGACCTACTGTTAGATTATGATCTCTCCCGACCACCTCGTCCGCCCCGTGCACCTAGTCCCGAAGTCAGTTTTGAAAAGCCCAAGAGGAAAGAGTTGAGACCGGCATCTCATGGAGAGATAGTCGTTGAAGAACGTGGTGGATCAGAGCTTCCTAATATAGCACGCGGCCCACCTCCAGAGCCTTTTCTTCGGCAGAGGCAGGAAGAATATCCGATTCCCCAATCTCGACCGAAGTCTATCGAACGTGAGAAGGAAATATCCATCCATGAAGTAATGCCAGGAATGTTCGATGAGCATGAAGTACTGGAAGAGGTCTATGGCGGACCTCGTGAGCTTGAGAGGTCTTTACGAGAAACCACTCCTAAAATGGCCGGAGACGATTGGGCAATTATTTCTGCAGCCCCCAAGACAGAGCGGGAGGCATTGCTAGATGAAATTTCTCACGGACCCAGAGAGCCAGCCGTTAAGGACAAAAAGCCCAAGTTTACTGTAAGTGAAGAAAGACATTCGGAAAGCGACCCAGATTTTGCACGGGGCAAAGTAGGCCGGCGATACATTGGTATGAAAGATCAACGAAATGGGCTTTGGACAGAGATCACCAAGGACCTTGTAGTGAAGGAAGCAATTGAACGATCTGGGTTTGAATACGAGGAGACAGTATCGTCCTATTACGTGTTTTCATACCTTCAATTCGTGAGTGAATGTATCTCCCACTATAAAGCTTACTATTAATAGCTTCGAACAGGAAGATGTTTCTGCTCTAGTTGACTTGTCGGAAGACATCCGCCGCGCACGTCGTCGACGAATCCAAGAGATTCATCGTGAAAGGAGCTCCATGCCTCCCCCAGCGCCTCCACCACCACCAGCGGCAATGCCAGGGGAACCGCCATTGATGTTGGACAGACCGATGTCTCCCCCCTTCCGGCCTCGTGAAGAGCGACGGATGAAGCAACGTGAGCTGGTTGATGACAGACGTGGGAGACCTCGCTCGGGAAGGTGGTGATATACTTATCTGATCTCCTGGCGGGCTTGTTATAAAATAGCAAGCATTGCGTTGAATTTCCTTGACTTACAGCTATCATGATTAAACGACACGACAGACACTACTCTAAATTTGCTGGAACAAGTATTTAGATATTGTTACTCTGCCTTCAAGGAGACCCACGAGACATGACCTATGAAAACAAATATGAGATTTTGAGCCCATATCACATTTTTCTGAGCGAAGCTATTCTCCACACAGATCCTATATCATGAGTTTTTGTAGAGCACACTGAAGCCCAGTGTCATCATCTCCCTTGTGGTGGCAGTCTTCCTATAATTCATCGTATTAAGTAAGGGTGGTGTAGACACGTGCATAGATTGATTACTGATCGATAAATCTAGACTGCCAAGCCCTCGGTCGACTTTGAGGGCGAAAGTTTCAACCCAAGCGCGTCAAACGACGACGAACCAACCAACCAGAATCGTCAATTACGGACAGACAGAAGCTTCCAAGGGGCTATCGACAGAAATGTCCACCGCTGAGGGAGAGTCATCGAGAAACAGAGGCCGGCCTCGTAAAGTGCCGACCGTGGCTCCGGACACGGTGAGCGGTATAGTTCTCGCTTCTTGGCCCCTTTCTCATAGTTGGCGTAGGTACGACGGACGCAGCTTCGAGAAGCCCAACGGGCGTATCGGTCCCGACAACAGTCGCTACTTGCCTCGTTAAAATCTCGGGTTGCTAGACTGGAAGATGCATTTGGACAACTTAATCAGATCATGGACTCATTCGACGCTCAAGTTATCAAGCCAAGTGCTCAAATGTCCCATGCTCAGCTGCTCCAGGCTGTGAAGCTTTTCCAAAATGAGATCTGCTTCCAATTAGAAAGGGCCGACTCTCATGCATCGCCCAATGAAGGCAAGGAACGCAGTTCAACTACTACCCAAAGTCAGGAACCCCAACAAAGGTCCAGCGACAGACCGTCGTCCTCGGACCCTTGCCAGGTCAATAAAGAAACTACTAGTGCCCCAACATGGACGAAAGAGAAGGCGCTCTCGTCTGATTTTTGGCGTCGCTTTTTGGGCTCGTCTAACGGCATTTTGCCGCCGGTTGCATCTACGGCTCATGAGCCTAACGCTTACATTCGTGAGACATCTTCTGTAGACCGTGAGGACCACGCCATACAATACACGACTTCAACATTCACAGAGAATCTCTACCGTACCTGCGCAGAAAATGGGTATCGGCTGGTGTGCAACGACACAGTGACCGACGAGGAGATGCAGCCGCAATTTGGGCTGGTGTTGCAAACGGTCTCACGAGAGCAAATCCGACTCTATTTTGAGCGGGTACTCCAGATGAAACCATGTAATCCCGTACATGACCGTCGGTTTCCTTTTATTAGTCTCGGTGGAGCGGGGACGCATTTCCCTTCCGCGGGGCAGGACTCTCGTTCTCCGAACCTTCTTCTCTTTCGTGAAACGAATGGCGTGCTGGCGATTCCCAGTGATGACGACTGGTTTGATATCAAGGATATGGAAGGGTTCTTGATGGAGCAGGGCATCAAAACTGAGGAGAGCTACCGAGCCTCGGTTACTTATTCATCTCGTACTAATAGCAATCCAAGCGTGAGGCCTGAATTGTTACTCCCAAGTGGTAACATCGTTGGGTCATCTGATTTAAATATTCATAGCCAGAGTACCTCCAGGAATGTGGTTATGGTCCTGGACGAGGCCACCGTCATTGATAGTATGTTGAACAGACAATAAGCTCACGTGGGGGTCTTTACTAATTTTGCTCTAGAACTAAGTCGGCTCTGTATCTGTCTTGGTTGCGTTGCTGGATTTCGCCGCTCTGATGTTGAAAACCTAATATGGCAGCATGTTAGTTGGAAACCAATCTAGTTTGGGGACCACACAAGTGAATGCTGAACAAGCGTTCTACGTCCAGAACCAACGGTCACAGCATCTATATGTATTAACAAGGACAGCGAAATAAGCAGGTCTATGGAAGACGATAGAGCCAACTTCTATTTCTTGTCCACGTCTGTTCACCAGCAACATTCCCATCCTTTCCCCACATTTTCATGTTCGATACCCATCTCTAGGACGACACAGCGAGAACAGCGAAGCTTTTAGCTGCGCTGACAGAATTTCCTTTGGCTCATCATCTGTTCGCGCCAGAACCAGATGGCCGCCGCGGTTGCACCGGGTCCAATCCCTGCAAACCCTGCAAGCATGCCCGACTAACGCTGACAACGGGGATATATTGGAAATTCCGACTCGGTAAAGACCCCAGACGCTAACCCAGCACCACAGAAAGTTGGACACAGTCACAAGGAGGAAATCGTTTTGAAGAAATATGGAAGCTCCCTCCGCTAAAGTTGGGATGGACGTGCTTGGCATGAAATAGAATGGGGCGATGAATCCAATTCCACGAAGCTGGTATAGAACGGCCCATAAGCTGGGACTAATGAGCAAACGTCAGTTTCAATGAACACAGTGGGCATGGATACAATCCATACCTTGACAGAAGGGTCCATTTGTTCCTTGGCCGATAGACCTCCACCACGAAGATGGAGATAAGGGTAGCATCGACGACAAGAAGTATAGCAGCTATGATCATTGCTTATCCTTTTAAGGCCCTATATTATCTGTCTATGGTTCCCCTAGCATCAATTAGTTGTGATAGACTCATCCGTTCTTAGACAATCGGTGCAACTACTACGATGATCAATAATCAGCCCAATCAGGGTATCAAATTTTCAGTGGGTCGGACGAACCAATTGGCCCGCGAGCATAGCCCTAACTAATCAACCATCGCCTCGGTTTGACAGTATCTATATAGTAAGAAAGCCGTCAATTTACAAAAGTATTGCCAATATTAATCACCGGTAGCAGAAAACCGCCAAGCCAGATCAGCCCTTGGAGATTCATATCTATTAAGCCGGTAATTCAAGACGGAGTTTCATGTAGCTTACAAGCTTGATAATCGGATCATGTAGCCTTCTGTTAATCAACCACCCTATCCAACATTATAACCCAACTATGTACGCATTCAACCCGCCCTTATCAGTCTGAGTTTGGATAATCTCCCCTTTGGTATACCTACTCAAATAGTATGTCTATCCAGCAGCTACTTCCCGACCTCATGCTATCAATCACTACTCCCCGTCCAGCAAGTGGAACACATACCCCGTCCCTCAGACCACCCCGAAATCCATACAATGCCCAAGAAAACTGGAGCCTAGCTCCCGCATAGGGCTTCGGCATCGTAATAGACCTAAATTTCCCTCTATTAGAGCCAGACACGATGCAATTCACGTCCTGGCCCACGGTATCAGGCCCGATAGGTCTCCAGCTCATGGCCCTAGACACCTCCAGCCACTAGAAGGAGGCATCCAACCACCGCCAGCAAATGATATTGATATACAATAAGCTCAGGGAAACGGACCATTACTCACTCCCTACCATCTCTTCTTCCAGTCCTGTCACTACCGACACAAATGACCTCAACACAATTTATATTCCTAAAAGGAAATAACCATATGGCCTGGACATCCCTATTCAGCGCATTCTGGTAAGCAAGCTACCTCAATCGATATACCTTCACTAAAATATTAATCCTTCCTTTGTACCCCTTCGAGCATCATTGCCTTGGCCTGTAGATCTCCGAGATGGTGGGAAGTCTTTTTTCGCCCCCAATCTCTTCAGGTCCACCTTACTAATACGCAATCTAAATGTTTACACACAGAAGAGGCATTGGCAATATAGGAGGATTCACAGCATCTTGACAAGATATGTTGCGATACTGTGTTTACGAGGTTTGCTTAGGGCAATGGGAAATCCCGGGAGTATGGAATCCAAGGAGGCTGTGATCGGGATCAGTTGCTTCACATGTGGTGTTTTCAGCATGTGGTAGCTTTGTAGGTCTTGAGGAGAATAAGCTTGGTCTGGGTCAGTAGATTGGGGCTGTTCTGATCCTGTTGGTGGGCGATTAGGATGACTACAAAGGAAGGAAAACATGATTGGACGTACATACATCCCTCGTTTACTTTTATGAGGATCTGTATAGAATCAATTAGTAAACATCCATAGCACCTAACGCAGTCCACTATAATTAATAATATACCCAAGTTCGATGTCGTTCGACGGGCGTAAGGACACTAAATCCCGTTGCTTAGAAATTCAAAAAAAAAAAAAAAAAAAAAGTAATGAAACAGCCTACTTAAGGGCGATTCAATGCCCTCCAATGGATACAGGAGAACAGCAGCTCAGAAAAATCTCTCGAAGCTCAAAACTCCTGAAAAATGTCCTCTACTAAACTCCTCGTCGTGCTTGGTGCCACCGGCAACCAAGGCGGATCCGTTATCAAGAGCTTCCTCGCAGACCCTACCTGGCGAATCCGCAGTCTAACCCGGAATACCTCCAGTGCAAAAGCCTAATCCCTCCAAGCACAGGGCGTTGAAACTGTGCAAGCAGACCTGGATGACGCCGCCTCTCTCGAAGCAGCGTTCCAAGGAGCAACCGCCATCTTCGGCGTGACCGATTTCTGGAACGCATTCGCGACAATTGCCCAGAACAGCGAGATTGAAGATCAGTCGAAGATCAGACGGACATACGAGCATGAGCTACAGCAGGGAAAGAATGTTTTCGATGCTGCGGCCAAGGTAGAGACGTTAGAGAGACTTGTTTTCTCTAGTCTGTCCGATGCGTCGAAGTGGTCGAAGGGTAAGTATACACGGGTGCTGCACTTTGAAGCCAAGGCACACGCGGTCGATTATGGGAGGGAGACGTATCCGGAGCTTTGGAAGAAGACTAGTGTTGTTCAGGTTGGATGGTATTTGTCAAATTTTCTTGGTCCGTTTTTGAGACCGAAGAAGGTTGGTTTGTTGTGAACTTACTGTAACCACTGGGTTCCATTACTAATGGTTTTGTTGTAGGCTGAGAATGGAGTTTATCAATTTGTTGGCGGATTGAAGGGAGACGTTAAACTTCCTATTGCTGCTGCTGATGAGGACACTGGTCCAGCGGTGAAGGCTCTTGTTGCGTGCCCGCCAGGGAAGAACTTGATCTCTTATCGGGAGTGGATGACGCCGGAGGAGTTTGTTCGTACTTGGAGTCGTGTGCTTGGGGTTTCTGCTGAGTGTGTTACTCTGCCGGAAGGGCAGTCTATTGAGGGTGTGCCCGACATTTTGAAGAGGGAATTTATCGATAACTGGGGATACTGGAATGAATTTGGCTATGAGGGTCGTGATGACCCTACTGTCGTTCATCCAAACCAGGTATGTGATATGATTTAGACAGGTTAGTCCTTGAGAGTGGTGCTGACTTAATGTAGCTTGAAGTTGGTTTCGAAGTTCCTACTGTCAATGATTGGATTAGGAGGCAGGATTGGTCGGAAATTCTGTAGGGAGCATTGTCATGTGAAGTTATCTGCTTTTGTTGAGTGTCTCCTTGGTTAGGGCATCTAAGGATTGCTTCCAAGATGAATTATATCTACGTCAAAATTATTGATTCATCTTAACAGATTTTAGATAAAGGAAAGGCTAGTACTTACTTCTCGTTCAATAAGATCCAAATTAGAGAGGTATCCATTTCTCTGTCCTCTTTGAAACCTTTCACCATCATTGTTGTCCCGCACTTTACCGTGATAAACACATCTTTCTGTGAAAAATTATACCCACAGTAAACCATCGTACACCCCATCACTACAAGCCTAGGCCTTGTTCAAAAGGGATGGCGCCGTTGCCAGTAGGTGGGAGTATGGTTTAAATATCTTGTACTTTTGTGTTGGTTTTCTCATTCGGGGTTGCCGGCACCCATGGCTAACGCTGGATATGGGGAAGGTGATTATTGGTTTCGATATATGTATGAACACTATTCAATTAATATGCCAGCTTAGATAGTTCACTATATATATCAAGGATCCAATGCAACATGCAAACAAATTCGAGAACACAGTATAGTACAGTACACATAGACTGGCCTACATGAATATAAGTCATAGTCATGGTTTATTCCCTTTCCCACCGATGCATACATGACCGCTACACCGCACTTTACATCCTTGACACATACATCCGCTCTGCGATCGAAAAATATATTCCTAACCCAACCAACGCAGAAAGCAACTGTCACTGTAAACTCATGCGTTCTACCGCATATGTAGCATTAGCATCTACATCTACATCTACATCTACATCTAAACCACCGATGCATATTAAAAAAATAATACTCCGGTATGTCCCTCCACACGAACAAAGCTACTAGTATTGAGCGACCATACAACTAATTCCCGAAAAGCCTTCTACATACCTAGGAGCAGTTATGCTATGTCTACTACCCCCGTTGTACTCCTAGCTACAGGCGTACGCAGCGCATCCAGCCCCTGATGGGCCATGTCGTGGACCGTGATACAACAGGCACAGGGCACCCGGCAGATTGCGGCTGAGAGGAATATTTTTAAGAGATGTCTCCATATCTACGAAAAGGAATGACCTAGGACGTGGCATTCCGCCCCCTTGTAGCCTCATAGCTTCATACAATTCTCTTCCCCCTATAATTGACACCATCATCAGTTGATTCCTAAGGCATTTACTGGTATTCACTGTGTAGCAAAGCGAAACACGAACACCGTAAGGCTAGAAAATAGCCACTATTCTCACGACGATCAGGTACGATATCCGAAACAGGAGTTGCCCGAGTCAAGTGCCGAAGGAGCCTTGCCTATGTCCTATTGAAAAAAACTGGATACGCTGTGGATAACGTCTCTGTTTGTTTGTACATAGTACCTACTACCTACTCCATCCTTCCCATACGGTAAGTATATGCTGTACTAGGCGATGTCCGGGTTGCAATATGACACGTCTCCATTTTCCCTATATTAAGTGGATATCTGGACCAGAGCTGACATTATTAGACAGGCTGGAATTTGGCTACCCGTGTTATATTTCTGAGAGAATGATAGTGGTGGTAACTATATTACTGTAACGTGGGAAAGCCTGAGTATTTTGCTTTTGTTTTGGGATCTGGTTTATGTCAATTTAGTCTGGTTTAGAAGGTCGATTCTAGATCCTGAGGTTTTGTTTCTGGCTCAGATCACGGATTGAACTGATTGATTGCTTGGGAGACCGGTGTAAGGAGGGTTACCAAATATAGGCGGGTGGGAGATTTGCATGTACTATACAGAGTACTGTGTATGTACGTACTTAATGTATATGTGCATAGTACTTACTTTACATGGGTCGTATTTGTATTTGTATTGGATGAGAAACGCCACAGCCAAGGAATGAAATAATAAAAAACAATGTTAAATTAAATTCCCACAATAATGGATCACGGACACGGGATGATCCTAAATATAAGTAATTATTTGTTTTTTTCCTTCATGCTGCTATTTTTGTTGATTGAGATCGGGGAAAAGGAATCCCTTCTCAGAGTCTGTTTTGGACATTGGGGAATGTTCGTTTGTCTGTTTTGATGTGAATTTTTCGATTTGTTTTCTTTTCTTCTCTTGCTGGATTGGTAGTTGGAATTTTTTTGTTGTTGTTTCATGTCCTTTTATTGGAGGGGCGTTTTGTTTACCTCTCTTCTTTTTCTACCGGTGTCGTGGGTTCAATTGCAATGATTTAGGTTATTTTTGATGCAAAGTAAGGAGATCGGCATTTGACTAATCGATTTTCCCACTTTTTCTTGTCATTGCCTCAGCCACACCATTATTGGTATTTTCTTTTTTTCCTCTGTTTCCCTTTCATTTTAAAATACGAGACGTTACCGTTTAGGGTTTAGTGAGAGATTTTTTGATTTACGACAAGAATGGCGACCACTCGTGCAATTATGGCCTGAGCTTCGACGAAGAGATACTATCCTAATCCCTAGTATCCCTATGCGGTTGTTTGTGGAAGCCGAGCATATCAAAGCAGCAGCCCGGCATATTACTGCCCGTGCCAGAGATAAAGCTGCGGTGTTGACAGCTTCCAGGTACAGACAACCCCTCCATTCCAGTGAACTATATGACTCGTATTCCACGAAGTTGGCCCATACGGCGGTGGCCGTGCCACAACTGATCGCCATCTGTCGACCAAAGTCAGAATTGTAGACGACCCTTTTCTAATTAGATCGCGAATATCGCGCTTGCACTTTCTCTGAGAAGGCTAGTAGATGGTGTGATCTGCGCGGGAGACCTGCGAGGAAGGTTCGCAGATGGCAAACTTCTGCTTGCGAGAACGGACTTCTGAAAGGCGGGGTTTCGCTTCTTTATCACTTCGACAGGACCTTCCCCGTGCGAAGTACACTGGGCAGAAATGGCATGCAGAGAGCGGGCGTCGTCATCCCTTTCGTCGGGTTGCGTTTGGCTGATGCTATTGGTCGAGGTCTGCGACAGATTCCTATCTTAGTCGTACCATGGTATCCACGATGGACAGGGCAAGTCCAACGATACGTAGATATCTCAAGCACGCCCCTATGTTAATGGAGGATAAGTATGCAGCCACGGCAGGAGTCATCGTGATTTTTGACTGGCCATGTGTCTAGACTCTTGATTAAAGCGGGGATGAGTATCAATGCGACCGGGAAAGAAAGGCATGTCGGAAAGTTTCGACCATTGTTCTTGCTTCTGAAATTGCATGTATCTAAATGCCATAGCGCATTCTTCAGAAAATATTTAATGAGCACTGGCAGATACTGAGTCAGGGTAACTGCTCAATCAAGAATAGATTCCATTGCGGGTTTTCGCAAAGTGGTCCCTTAAGATAAGCATCGGCAATCACTTTGATCGGTACAAGTGTAGAGGATCTGAAAGAGAAAGGATTGACCGTTTGTGTTGATGAGAGATCGCGGATCGATTCCTTCCACTCATTCTTGGTGTCACATGTTCTGAGATTCGATAGGTGGTTTGGTTTGCTTGTCTGCCCGCCTTGATTTCCAGGCCATGATCGATTGCTACCAGCCGTTGGACCACGTAAGTATGATGTATTGGGACACTGAAGGGGCCTTTTTCGCTCGATCGTGAGGTGTATCTCGCGAACGCGTGCCGCGCTTGACCCGAGATGGGAGTACCCATGGATATCTCAAGTGGGAAGTACTCCGTGTTGTGTGATTTGTCCTTTGCGATTTTACATATCTTATTGTCCGTGGAACTCACCGTTAGGTCGACCTTGGGTTACAGACGGGATAGCCGACCTGAAACCACACAAGGCCCACCATAATGTATGTTATCTGCGTATTAAAGCCGCAGCCTCCCTTCCATGGATCGTCGGCTGCTGGTCCAGCCCATCCAGGCACGGCCAGAACAGCAAGGAAACCGGAAAGGACACGAGAATATTCGAGTAAGCATAATAATAAGGTCAATGACACATTAATCAACCTCATACATAGCAATTCATCGCAATTCCGCGTGGTCTCCCTTCTAGACCATTACTTCGAAGTCGCATCTCCACTTGACCGAATCCATCTGAGGACCACAAGTTGTCCTGTGCGGTGGCGGGTGCGAGAGAGGATCCGTCACTATTGTATTGTCTATACATATCTTCCTATCAACGGCAAGTGTAAATTTGTACGGTAACTGTAAGCAACCCCCCCCTTCAAAGTAACCCCGATACAGGGAATGCCACGATATAAACAATCGAAATAAGTGTTTTGATTAGATCCCTAAAAGTGAAATAATAAAAACCCCAGTAAAGGGAAATTCCAGAAAGCGCTAGAACTTCCATATCAACTTGCTTATATTGGATCAGTATGGTATGTAATATTTGGAATGAAGTAGTCCTACTTGGGCAATGCATGGCCAATGAGACCGGCAGGATCTGCATCCGTGATTGTGTCTCAAACGCTGAATCGTCCATATTTCGAGTGGCTGAACCGGGTAGATCCCATTATCCAAGTAAGGAACATAGGAAGTAAGAGACACACTCAAAACAATTTCTTTTTTTCTGATCAAGAACTATATTGACAACTTTCCTGACCTTAAGGAGGAAAACCAGTCAAGTCCAGGTGAGATGAGGCAGAGAGGGAGTGTGTGGTAGTATTGTTGTGGTATGTGACGTGACGTATCGTTGTCCCGCTGTGTCAGACAAATGACGCGGCCAAGGTGAAAAAGTCTCTCCCATTCAGCATTGAAGAAATTAAGGTCAATGACAAGGATGTCTTTGTACTTGAATCTTAGTGCGTGCAACCACAGGTCCATTAGAGTTTCTATTCTACCTTAAATGTACAGGAGCACAGTGTACCTTTCATCGATCTCCAGGGTTAGGAAATAAGAATTGGTTTGTTTTTCTCTATTTTCTCCTGGGCAAGATCTTTCTGTAGGTAGGTACAGTACCTACTGTACATGGCCTGTCTTTTGGAAATATTTCCCAGCTTCAGTACAGGTGGCGCCACTCTGGTACAACAATACTATTACTACACTCCTCACAGTTGGGGGATTTGTTTGGATAGTTTGTACATACCCACATACTAGACCGATATTTACGGGAATAGTAATAGATTACATTCATGTTGACGACGAGACATCTTGCAAATGGACACTGCCAATCCCTTTGCTGTCAATTTGGATCAGAAATTATATTCTTGAGATATTCCAGTGGAATGTAGTTCTATCAACTGTATACAAACCGAGATATTTCTCATCCCCCCTTCTTTCATTGAAAACTTTGTATCTTTTTGCATTGTACAGAAGAATCAAGATAACGAGTCGAGTTAACTACTTCGTACGGAGTACTCCGTAGTTACTGAGTGCGGGATTACTAAAACCTTTGGCTGACCAGCTGTAAATCGAATTACTCCATTGTTGCAGCCTGCATAGTACTAAGATAGGCAAGGTACTACTGCTTGGTACTCATAACCCCACTCCCAAGTGGGTATGCCGGTAATTTTCGTTTGTTTTTCAAAAATTTTTTTTTCCCCCATACTTCATCCTGGACAGAATTACGGCCGATTCGGCTGGTAGATGCCTTGTTACCCATTAGGTTAGCGTAGCTGGAGCCTAGATGCATGGACATACGTACGCCGTACATACGACGGACTCTTACCCTGATAATCAAAATTTCTTTCTTGGTGTGTTTTTCTAGAACGATTACTGGCTGCATTGGTGGAACGCCGGGAAGGGAACCCGCTCTCGTTCCATGTTTCTTGTTTCGTTACTTACCAGCTGTTTAACTGGATCCATTGTTTAACTGACCTTACCCGACTCACTCTTCCTCGTCGACCCAAAGAGGAGAACAGTTATTCTCCTTTCTCACTCTCTTCCTTTCTTTCCCTCCCTTTCACTTTTACTTTCTGTCATTACTATTGACATCCTGTCGGATTCTTTTCTATCCAAACCTCCGTGAGCCGGTCGGCCGTCCCTTCTCTCCTCTGTAAGGTGACGATGATCATGATGATGTTGCGATAGTCTTCTGATCCGCACGCTATCGTACTCTTGGCCCCCAAAACAACTGCCTAGTCGCAGTTAGATGAGCCTTATCTTTAAGATAGAGGGGAAGAAATAATTCACAAAAAACAAGTTAACTGGCCTTGCTAGTTCACAGGTATGTCGCATGATAGTTGCAAGCCCATTTGCATGTGTTCGTGGCCTGTGGCTGACCGACGTCAGTAACTAACTGCCACACTGATCCTACCGAAGAAGGATCTTCTACGGAACCCTGAGCCAACAGACAATTTTTCTTAACCTTGAGCTTGAATCACGGTCTGACCACTGTTATTAAACTTTGTTTCTCAATCGACACCGACCAAAAAATTCACCAATTGTATATCCTGCCGACCAAGCGACCGATCTAAAACCGAGGTGGTTCTTCTTTATCGATCCTGGGACCTATTCTGATTCAGAGGGAGGTTGTTTCTGCACGTTTTGGTCGAGGCCGGGATTTATACTAGGTGTCGCATAGCTGGGAAAGGAACGCACGTACGGCTGTCACGACTAAACCGCTATCCGGCCATTTCCGCCATGCATCGTAATATGGCTCTCATATTATTTACTTTATTCTCCTGGCAAGCCTTTGCTGCTTCGGATATCACATATTGCTCTACCGTGAATACGGGAGCTTCGAACTCTGCTAGTATGTTTCTGTGGTGCTCTTGTGCCCTATGGTTTTTCTAACCTGCACACAGATATCAGTGTGTATCAATCAAACGGACTTTGTACGGACACATGTAATTCCGATTATGCTTTTGGAATTCTTCAAGGGAAGAGCTGCTGGTGTTCGAACATTGCTCCCAACAAAGCGACCAACGTTGATACGTCGAAGTGTGATACGGGGTGTCCCGGGTATCCCGATGATAGTTGTGGAAGTGCGTCCAAGGGCGTTTTTGCTTATATCCAAATGAACGAGCATTCGCCCTCCGGAACAGCCACAGTTTCTTCGAGTACGTCGACATCTACAGAGTCATCGGTCAGTAGATCTTTCCTGTCTGCTTGTCAACCCAAGCAAAGTTCCCTTCCAATCCATCAACTCCGTCAACTTAGCGTTCTACCGCGGATGCAATCCAAAGCTGCTTTGCTTCCTCATTGAAGCCACTTAGTTCTTGCACAGAATGAGATGAACAAGTTGATTAAGTTACTAAGCTGGATGATGGGGATCATGTCATTGCAGTCTCACACACATCGGTTATTATTGCGTGCTAACCTTTCGCAGACGACATCGACGGACTCTTCCAAAACCACCGAAGCACCTACCACGACGGCAAGTCAATCGGTTGAAACCGTTGCCGGGGAGGTGAAAACGATCACAGTTCCCAATGCGAAGCCTACGTCAGACCCAAGTGCCAGTTTATCTGAGAAGGATAGTAGCGGCTCGGGTTTAAGTGGAGGTGCAATTGCTGGCGTGGTCGTGGGCTCAATCGGCGGCTTGGCTGCTATTATAGCCATCTGCTTCTTGATCTTCTTCAAGAAACGCCACGAGCGTTCGACAAGCCCAAGTCCGAGCGTCTCAAATGTCTTGCTAGATGGTAGGAACAGCAAAGGTTCTCAGATGAGCGTCGCGAACCGAGCGTTCTCGGACAACCACAGCCATACATTATCTGCCGGATCCTCAAGATTACCAACGTTTACCGATACTCGCTTGAAGACGGATACTGTACTGTACGCAGGCGGCCGTCGTGATAGTGACGTGTCACTCCAGGACAATGAAGACTATTCTCGGCCAGTTCTTCGGGTTAGTACTGTTCTTTTTTATTGACTGATTGCTTGACAAGGCTAACGTTGACTACACATAGCTTACGAACCCCGACTGATAAGATCCAGAAAGATATTCTGGCTTCTTTCTTCCGTCTTGATTTTTTCGTTTGTCATCTCGATTTGCGCGTTCGGCGAATATAGCGGTCTTATGATACCCATTTGTCACATATCCTCACCTACCGAAATCCGGGACTTGACAGGCTCGGGAATCCCCGGCGTCGTTCTATGATTGCAGGGGCTTACAGGTATCCCCGCAACTGCATGGTTTTGATGATGCCTTTCCATTGGACAATAGCCTAGACAGCTATGAAGGCCTGTATTAAGGCTGACAGCCGTCAATGTCTCACGATATAACCACGCACCCACACAGTCGTCCGCTTGTCGCCGACTTTACTCTATTTCATTAGCCACATACCTTGACCGACCTTATCGTGTACATGAAAGCACATGCAAATGTGCTATTCCCGGGTACATACAACTAATTTCATTGAAGTGTCTTCTCTCCATGCATATTTCTTTTAAATTGTCTCTTTTGATTTTGTTGTATACTTGTTAGGGTCATACGGAGCATTTGTAAAGCGCGCGGGCTGGATGTTTGCAATACAATCAAATATGTTACTATCAGTGGGGAATGGTCCAGCATGGATGTAATCATATAATAATGGAATTAGCAAGATATGTATTAAGCATCGCTGGCAATATGGGTCTCCGTTGAACCGCCAAATTAGCGTTCATTAGCTCTCGGGTGATTTGCAACGCCCACTGAAACGTTAACCTAACCATCAGATCAAATTGAATAAGTCATCTTCCCGGCCTGGCCACTTTTGTACGATCACAGATGGTTTCAGCATGAGACTAGCAGCTAGTGACCAACAGCTTGGCATTGGAAACATACAAACAACTATCCGAAACTTGACAATGAGACATTAAGGCGGACTGGTGAGACCCACACCGGCGAGACAGTGAACCCGAGCTGCTATACATACATCGTTATACCACATATATGGGTATGCTTGTTTGCTTGATTGATCGGTTTTATAGGGATTCCCGAAGCCCGCGAGCTGATCTGTCCTGGTTTTGGGATCGGACTTTACTCCGTATGTCATTCACGCTAGCCTCACATCCAGTACTCACGATATGAGGAGCCTCAGCACATACTTCCAACATATCAATGACATTGTCACCGTGGCTGAGATGTTTGTGCAGTGTCGCATGCTTCTCAGACGGGGGAAGTAATATAAAAGACATGTGATCCTGTCCCAACGCTGGGGACCAATAAGTCTATCATATGCCGCGCCAGTTGCCAGGCAAAAGTTCTACACTTGCTCCAGTGTATCTCAGTACTTACTTATAGAGCATACTCAGGTGTGGATGGTCACTTCAGTTGAATGAATACCCTTCTTGATTGATTCTATGTTGCGTCTTTGTATGGCTGATGATTACTGCAAAAGGATTGTTCACAACATGGTCTAATGAATCACAAAGGGGTATCTTAAATAAGACTGCACAGTATTGAGCACTAGTTGTTTCTAAAGCTCTCTAAATTTTCTGGCAACTGGTGCCCCCAATGAGGTATATATGGTCAGCTAATCGCTCACACAGTACAGAAACTGGAGAATAGATTGCAAACCAGCAACGAGACACTACATACATGTTCTAAATTCCTGCGCTGTCGAGTGTGGCTAGCAAAAGCCAAGATAATTCTACACATTGATTCACATATCCTTCCTCTATCATGGCACCTGAAACCGAGATGAGACAGTCTCGTGGACTAGATGGCTTGCCAACTGAGCTGATCGATATGATTGTTACCTATATCGACGCTCCATCGTTAGGACAGCTCGCTAGCACCTGTCGAAGGTTCAGCGAAATATTACGCTCCTTACTGCCCAAGGCTGCCAAGGGTTATGCTTTGGCCAATGAAGAGGATTACACTCGATATCTCACGAGATACTTAGGAGCATATATTCCCGAATGCCCGTTCATTTATCGGTTCCAAAGGGCCGGATACAGGATCAATCTCCCACATCAGCCACTCGCAGATGCCATCGAGAAAGATAGAATCAACGCTATCAAAGGGTTTCTTGATGCAGGGGTCAGCCCGAACTCCCATGACGTGACTGGACTTAGCATGCTGGGTATTGCAATTGGTTTCCGGCATACCCAGATTGTGGAACTCTTTCTCGAAAGAGGTGCCAGTTTGAAGCTGTATCCATTGCTGCCTCAGCCCAAGATGATCTGCATTATACCTTACTGTAACCTTGAATCGCTCAAACTCATTGTGGATAAGGTCGATTTGAGTCATATATGTGGCGATGGTGGATCTGTGCTGCATCAAGCTATAGGGAATAATGATCCAGATGTGCTAGAGCTTTTGGTGGAAAAGTATGCCCATCTGCTCTCTCTGCAGGACTTTAAAGGCGAAACGGCTCTTTTTCGAGCGGCTCGACTCTGGGAGAACCGGAATCGTCAGGCCGCTATGGTTCGCATACTGGTTGAGGCCGGCATTGATTTGAACATCAAAAACGCTCAGAATGAGACTGCCTTCCATAAAGCTTGCTCTCATGGCTCCTATGAGGTTGTCCAGTTTCTCTTAGAGCGCGGAATCGAGACAAACATCCCAGGGGAAAGTGGAATGACCGAGCTACACTACGCAGCCCGAGACAATTTGACTGAAGTTGTAAATCTTCTACTTTCTCAAGACACATTCAATATTCATGTATTCGCTAATAATGGCGAAACGCCGCTGCACATGGCAGCAAGACAGTCGACACCCGATACTTTTGCGGTGCTGCTTGAGAACGGGGCAATTTTACGCCTTAGAGACGCCAATGGCCAAACACCTCTGGACATCATCAAGGCCATGGGCCATTGGAGCATTGAGAGATACCTCCAATATGAAGACGACAATTGATGGCTACAGCCTTCCTTGGATATCTAGGCATCTTGGTTTGTTCTCCACAACGTTGAACCTTCTAGCGGGCATACTAGAACTCAGTTGAATGGGACAGCGTGAGTCTAACTGACCCATGACAAGAAATGGGCAGTGACAACGCGGTGTTTACCTTTTGGGCTAGTGCCAGGAGAGTACAGATCAAGATCCTCCTGTCGTTTTGTGATCGTGGCATCGTATATGTTTCCACGGACGGGTCCGCAGACATGGCGCTTTTCGGTGATTTTTACAAGGCTAAGCGAATGTGTGACGCCAATCTTCGCTTCTTGAAAACCAGTTAGCGCGTGATTGTGATATAGAATAAGTTTGTTATATGTCCTTGAGTGATTTAGTAGGAAGGCACGACATGTTGATGATAATGCAGGTAGGAGCCAATGCCGATGTTCAATGTTCTCTCTGAGATACAAAGATCTAGTTTGCGCAGAGAAATCCTAAGCTCTCCGCTGACCATTTCATTGAATGGAAAGCTTTCTGATTAGTATAGAGATATCTCAGTAGCTTTATAGACATGTATATGAATGCATATATGGCTGTGACTAAGCCATACCTTGGACACATGATGATGGATACTTTTCCCTTTCCGGGAAATGCGGAGGTGCGCACTTTCTTTCCTCCTTCCGTCATTTCTGTCCGCAATTTGTCCCCTCGCATACTGTATCAGCTCAATATTACTGGAGGACCATTTTCATGGCTGATCATTATCTATTGCCACTTATCTCATGGTAGGTCAGGCCCCCTCATCTACGCTTCGGAACCAAATACTGAGACAATGGAAAGGTGGGCTAACTGACTTTAGACGATTTACGACGTACTGCCGCTTTTGATATGGCATGTTCATATGAAGGGAGCATCTACCTTACATCATGGGGCACGTGCATACACCCTGGGCTACGCCGATGCTACATACATAAATGTAGAACGATCTGTGGACAGTGGATGTGTGGCATAGGTCGGTGAAACGGGCCTCTAATATTACGTCCTCTTAGTTCTACGACGCCGAAGATTGACCCCTCACACCTTCTCAGAAGCACTGCACTCCCCTGTCAGGTATATCGCATCAAAGTACTCGATACGAGAGGGTATCCTTATCTTTATCCGCATCTCCGCACCGAACAAAGTAAAAGCATTCGGTTACATTGCTCTTGAGAGGCTGCAGATCCCGCATGGCATCCCCAAGCCAGCCGCGAATCCCGCCAATCTCTGATTTCAGTAATGACCACACATCTGCCTTAAGGTATTAAATCAAGGTTACTTCCCCCTGCGCTTTCATGGTCATGTCTCTAACACCCATACCTGGACACGATATTCGGGTCTACGTACGAGATACGATACAGATGTGACTTCGCACTGTTCGAGCCTGCAATAGCGAAAATATTCATATATGTTCTCTTAGTGCCCCATACCGTATTTTAGAAAGCATCATGGACACACTCGATCCACTGGATAATCTGTGGTTGGTCTGCTTCACTGTGTTCGGACTAGCTGGGCTATGCTTTGCTTTGAGTGGGTTGCAGAACAAACCAGTTTGGCTTTGCTCAAGATTTTACAGTGTCACGCCACCACAGTCGATATCACCGGAGAAGAAACCAACGAAGTATGCGAATTTTTTACCACCTCAGAACGGTCAGGCACTCACTGCGTTACCGGAATTTGTGACAGGAAGGAGTGAAGTCAGCGAAGAGAACGTTCTCAAACACATCCTTCCCATGACCACGGACTATAGGACCTGCGAGGAAAACAGATACACACCAACGGGATTTTCTATAGCTGAGGTTAAGGCCTTAGGGGACTTTCCAGACTATGCGAAACTCAGCGGTGTTCCCTTGCCTCAAGAGTATCCCGAGTTCGAAATTGAAAAAGCGCTACCCAGGCCATATCGTCCGTTTAGATGGGGCTATCACCAGACAATGTGTACGTTTGCTCATTTCTGACTACGAGTGCCGCCGCATAACTTGTGCAATTGACAACCATGGCAGCATTGACAAAGCTAGAAACGGATTGGTGGATAGAGCTTGAGAACACCTACAAACAACGGATCGCGCAACGGAAGGACTTATATGCAAGGCATGGGGATGCGGTCCTGGGCTGGCTTCCAGGATCAGAGCTGGCTTGTAAAGAACTCATGGAAATGGTCCTGCAATTCATCTGCGCCCGGTATCCGCAATACTTCTCTCTAGTGGACAGTCGTATCCTACAGAATAGGATCTTGGGAGTAGAGCAGGATATTAGATCCAAGCATCCCCTTGAGGTACTACTCGACAACGTACCCGAGGACTTCGGTCTGATGCTACGTGATGACACAACGGGTAACTATTTTCTACGTGCCGGAGTCATCTGTTCTGCTTTGGGGTGGAATGTCGGCACCAAGATCGGACTTCAGCTTCATCATATCCATGGCTCAGTTCCAGATTACAGGGAGAAGATGCAATTTTCCATGGATCGGTGCGTATCATGCCAGATTATCTCGGCCACTGTTTACTCACAGATAATCATGTAGGTTTTTCACCAAAATGCCGACCGACAAACCGATACAAAGAGGATCCTGGGGTCTTGAAGTCGGACAGCCTTTGTATATGCCTAAAGGGGACCCTCATGAGAAACTCCGACTGAACCAAGATCCCAATCTTCAACTAGAGGACTGCTATCTCAGAGTAGATTGGCAAACACTCCGCCGCCTTCCCCTTTCAGGGGCTATCGTATTCAACTTCAAGGCACTCTTCACACCTGTGACTGAATTCCGGGACGAACCTGGCGTGCCCGCATTGATAACCAAGGTCTTGAAGGAGGGCAAGAAGAATATACTGGAGTACAAGGGTACATGGCACGTGGAGCATGTTGTACTTCCCATGCTTGAAGAATGGGCAAAAGAACAAGAGGCGAATAAGCTCGTTCCCAGTGGTTGGGAGGTAGCTACATTGGATGATAGCCCATGGTATCAAAATTGGCAGGAAAAGTGGCATCGCCAACAAGGCTTTTAGTGCCATTTGCTCATAAGCTCTTCCCAATCCGTATTCCCTGATATGGTTTCTGATTTGCACAGCTTCGGTGATACTGGGCCAGGCAGCCACATTGAGATCATTTATTTGCGTTCTAAGTAATTTACGAGCATGGTACAATTGATCTAATCAGTAAGTGAAATCAACATATGTTTTACAATTGAATAGCAAAGATGATGGGGTATCTCCGAATGCTGCAGATTGTAACCAAAACTGGTACTATGCTCAAGCAGCAATGCCGTTTTTCCAATTCCTAACTCCCAAAATAGAGCCCCATTCTCCCGTAGTAGATGCCTCCATATACTCCATTTTGAAGAGGATGACAAGAATTCCGTGGGCGTCTGTGTCACGGTGCTCGAGGTATATTCGATCGCTGCCCTATCAGGGCACGTAAGGTAGCGGGGTCAAATGAGAACCACACCTGTTGAAGGGATGTGGGTGGCTCAATGAAAACGACTGCTCATCGGAAACCGTCATGAGTTTGCACGAGGAGCCGTAGCCTCTGAGACCGAGCCGGCAATAAGAAGCTCAACACCAATATATTATTTGGCAGAGCCAAAAGACGTTCGCAGCTAGCCGGTGGCCATCTCAATCATCACCGGCATCATCAGCTGACCGATCATCACTAGCCTGACCCTCCTCACTCTCCTCTTCTTCGTTGTCCATCTCTTCCAACTCAGCAGCCAGCGGGCTGACTCGTTCCTCCAGAAGATCCAAATCCTCCAATTGCTGTCGCGAAGGCAACTTCCACAAACTCGTACCACATACACGATCCTTAGTGAGAAGATCATCGACAAATTGATCCACATACGTAAGAACGACTGAATCGCGCACGCGCCGCTTCAATTTCCGATAGTCAAGAAGAAGCGGTTCTAGCGTTTTATACACATCCACCGCGTCGAAGGTCAAGCGAACGTAAAACGCCGCCAAAGCCCGCAGGTACTTAAAATCACCCTGTTGTTTGACCACGCCATTCTCAGCTTGCTCCGTTGCTGTCTGCTCGCCTTCCTCGTCGTTGACCGGGTCGGTGAAATTTAGGTACTCCAGTACGATATCCCGGTCCGGGTTTAGTTGCAGCATCTTGAATGCGAGACAGAGAAATGGTGTAGGCTTCTCGGAAACGCCGTACGTTCCTCCGATGGATGTCAGCTCAACCGCGCGATCGCAAAGCGTCGCTGCGTTCAATCCGAAACATTGTTCTTTCCAGTAGTAGGAGTCCGTGATACGGTCGCGCACGGCTTTTTCGAATAGAGTGGCTGGATTGACACCGCGCACTAATGGACCGGTGTAGCCGCGGTTGTCGAGAAGGGAACTGGCATCGGCGCGGTGGGATGCCATTGTTTCCGGGGTGGATGGCAGGCGAGGTGAAGGATTTGCGGAGAAATAATGATGCAGATGAAAGATTGAACTGAATGATGTCGGAGTTGAGGCGATTGTCTTGGCGGTCGGGATTCTGCCAAGACTGGTCCTTATCGATAGTCGCACCGCCAACGGGGTGACTGTAAACACGAGATGAAACAGGTTGAGTGATCGATTGATCTTCATCTGCTGGGTTTTGACGTATGAGTTGCATGATAGACGAGTTTACGAGTTACTATATTACTATTTAAACAGAAGACTATATATCCCAGTCGTGGTATAACGGTGTCCCATATACCTGTTTTTTTTTTTTTTTTTTTTTTCTCATCTACACCAACGGGTCATCCATACATACCCTTCCAACTATACAACCACCACATCCCACATACCAATGCAGAAAACCCTCTAACCAGCAATGGTCCTCCTAACTTCCTCCACGGTCTCCGTAATCCTCTCCTCGGGAGTGATCTGCATTTTCACCTTCGTCCTCTTCCTCTCCGGCTACGTCCTCCAACAACAATCCGTGCGCAGCATCCAACACGCCATCAAACCCCCGCAACCACCAGATCCCATCCCCGGCCTCACCCACCATGGAGGCAATACAAAACGCACCACCTTCCTAGACAACCCAAATGACGATGACAACCACTCAAAAGGCAACTATGCCTACCTCCAACTTCTTACCACACCTGACCCCTCAAACATCTGCTCCGCAATCCTCTTTTTCAAAACCCTCTCAACAAATAACACCGCAATCCAAGACCGCCTCTTCATGTACCCTCAAGACTGGGACCAAACCCCGCCCCACAAGCTCACTACCGAGGTCTCAACAGCTCTCGCCCTCCTCCGCACAGCCTCCCTAAAATACAACATCTGGCTCCTCCCCATCGACATGACAGCCGCCACCAGCGCCGGCTACACCCCCACAGATACAAAGCTCCTCCGTCTCGGTCAGATCCAGTTCATGCAATACGACTCCGTCCTCTACGTCCAGACACCGGGGTTACTCCTCGACACGGCAAAACTGGACTCTATCCTTCTTTCTAGGCCATTGCCGGGCAGACACGATAAGAACAGGCCGGAGTCGTATATGAACGAGGCGTGGATTCCAATGCCGCTTCGTCCGGATCGAGATGTGGCGCTCCCGCCCGTGTATCTGGTTACTGTTAATAATGTGGGCGCGGGCCAGGTTGAGGCTCGTGGGCATGTACCGAATGTGGCGCTGCCCGGATTTGGGTCTTTGGTTACGGGGCCTTGGGGCGTGGAGAAGTCTGCTGGGGAGGAGCAGCCGGGGTATGTTTTCTTCGAGCATGATGAGGATGGACATGTTTCTTGGTCGAGGAATTCGTTGTTTGGGCCTTGGAGGGCAGGGCAGTATGATGTTTGTGAGGGGATTGACCTTGATGATGTGCATGATGATTATGGGCTATGATTATGATTTTTGTTTTTCGCTTTCTGGTTGGTATGGTTATTGCTTGGTTTGGACATATCTGGTTGGTGTTGGTGGTTTTATAGGGATTATGTAGCATATTGTACTTTTCTTCTTTGTTGGCTACATATACGGAGCTACATGCCAATACACGATACTACTAGTAGATCTCTTTCAGTATTTCCGAACATTAAATCTGAGAGGATATCATGGTTAACTCATCAGTCGTGTCTTAACATGACTCAACACAGCGCTATCATTAACATATCGCCAGTACATGCATTAAAACTACACCAAACAGCAAAGCATCCCTACAGCACGCATAAAAGCATGCCAGAGATACAGATAGTGTACAGATCCACAGCCGACTACCGAGGAACGCCGATCTCGTACCCCAATAGAACTTCGGTGGTACTGCCTTCCCAGCCTCTATTGCCACTTGTGGAAACCATGAACCGACACGCTTGATCGATGTATAGCTGTGAGACAGTTCCTGTTCGATGTCCTGGGATGATAAGAAAGGGGACAGTTGAGTGACGGGTGACTTGCTCGTGTTTCAGGTCGTATAATCTAAGAATATCATGGGAGGCGCTGAAAGTGGGGGGTTAGCTCACTCTCCATTTTTAGTATGCGATCAATATCGCCAAAAGCTTACCAAACTATATGTCGCCCGTTAGGCATCGCCCTGAGAGCCGTAACAGGTCCACTTCCCTGGGGGAATTTGAAAGTCCGTTCAGGATCTCGTAGGCCCTTGTGAAGACTGAATTCCTCTACAGTTCCATTTCGACGGCCGGCGTAGATATAATTGCCGTCTGGAGACCAGCATGCATTCATGCACCAGGGGGGAGAATTGCGAGGCGAGATGCGAGCGATAGGGTCCGGTTGCCGTCTGTCCCACACTCGGATAGTGCCATCTATGGATGCGGCAAGAAAGGTGTTATCGGATATGTTCTTATCAGACTGCGTCTGTTGGCTGAGATCTTGGCTCTCTGGTACAGCTTCCAATTCCTCTGCGTGAGGCAGGCCGTTTACAACAGGCTGCGACGAGGCACCGGCGGCTTCTGGCTTGCGAGTCTCTGGTTGCTGGGGCGCCGCGTCCTCCTCCTTGATTTGAGCGCTTGTATCAACTGGAGCTGGCGCTTCTGGAACACCATTTTGCTGACCTGATGGCTCAGGCTCACCGGGTGCATCAGCGTCGGGGAGGGTGCCATTGGCCAGAGCTTTACCAAACTCATCATCTTCGTCTATGCCAAAGGCATTCCCTGATGCGCCTGCCCCTTCGCCTCCAGTGCCATCTGTATCCCCGAACAATGAATCCGCTCCACCGAAAAGTGAGTCTGCCGGTGAGCCCGCCTGCGGGTTTGATGAGTCGCCAACACCACCTTGGTCGTTCGACGTATCCATGAAGTCGAAGCTATTACCACCACTTGCCTGGTAATTCGACGAGTAAGTCCCATTAGGAAGGGGTGTCTCAGTATCCTTAGGAACTGGAAGGCTAGATTCTGGCCGTAAGTCAATGGCTGATATCTGTCTGGCACTGGATCCAAATGAGCGCCTAGTCTGGCCTGTGTTCAGGTCCCAGTCAAAGACTCGCTTATCCCAACTTCCGGACAATAATGATTTCTCATCAGATGTCAGGTTCAACACTGACACGGCTGAAGTATGTTGTTGTAGCAGGGCAATCTCCTTGCCTTCGTCATGGCGGACAGATTGCAGGCGAATGGCACCCGACTCCAAGCCGGACAGTAACCACAAACCCTCACTATGGCTAGCCAAAGAATACACCGGTGACAGAGTGTTGCCGTCCATGTTTTCCCAATATGTCATTACCACGCCTGCCTTGACCACGCTGTCCACGAAGGGGTGCCGTTGCGCTACAGTTAACATCAATTTGCTGTTAATCGACTCCACCCAATTGAACTTCCGCACGTATCCATCCGAGCCGCCACTGAATACCCATCTCATGTCTGCAGTCGCCGTCACTGCATTAATCGATGTACTGTGGGGTGCAGCCGTCGTAGGGACTATATCGTAGGTAGAGGCAGTGAGACATTTGGACCGGACTGGAGGATGATATACAGATACTGAATCATGTACAATGTTCACTGGGCCGGTCGTAGTCATTTCAACATCCGTATTTGGTTGGGGTACACCAGCGCTATCCGATACGTGACTGGCATTTGACTGGCCATCTGCGTCTTGATCGGCGTCATCGTCAGCGTCGGCGTCGTTGTCGTTATCGTTGTCATTGTCATTGCCACCATCGTCAGCATCCCGGAGAGTATCATCCATTTCATTATCGGAGCTACCATCTTGCGAGCCTATGTATCGCCAAATCATTAGGCTGCTACGACTATCGTCAATGGTGTTACAGGGGAAGCTCACCTGCAAGATCTCTGTCATCATCATCTTCCCCGAGCGAAGCCATTGTTTCAAGTGGTAAAAATTCAAGGCCCGATTGTTCTAGAGCATGCGATCTCGAAGCTGAAAGTTATACCATATAATATGTATATATAAGTGGCGAACAAAGAGCTCTATCTCAATGGCCCATCTCTCGGTGGGAGCCTCCGCAATTCAAGGGTTCATGGTTTGATAGCTCGCACTGACTTTAGACGATGGAAATAGGCAGGAAATTCAGTCGCACAGATGTTGCGCCCAGGGTTATCAAGGGGCAGAAGCTATGGTATTGCGGCGCGAGCGTGTGTACTGGAATCGGCAAGACGCCTTTCTTTATCTCCAAATCCGTTTATCGTTCTTTCCCCGGCTTCAGTCACGTTGCCCGCCCACTTTGTGCCTCAGGCGGAAACGTCTATCCATATCTAGTTAGCGTCATATCATACATCTAAATCATAGTATGTTTGTTGCAACAGTTGGATGCAGATGTCCCTCTACAACAAAATTTATCATGTATGGCAAAAGAAGAAAAAGAAGAAAAAGAAAAGAAAATATTTCAGGTATTTTTGGGCAGATAGCTTAGCGACTCGTACAATGACTATCCATACAGGAACAAATAGCCGTGGTTGTTCCATAGCAACTAAAGGAATTGACCACTAAATGAGCAGAATTCCGCCTCTCAGACTGTAAAAATTCATGTCTCTACAATTTATGTCTCTATTGTATTTTGTACATGTAGGTATACTCTGTTTTTATTTACCATAACTGTTGGTGTGCATCCTAGAGCACTGTGAAAGAAATGACTCAATGGGTAAGAGTATGGCAAGCGATAGCGTCCTTTGAACAGGGCATGTCTTTTCTTCTGAAACGGACAGAAGCCGCTGGAAGAGCTTTGCTACTAGGGACGAATTCCGGTTGTGATCTCCTCTATTCACGCTAGATTGAGAGCTGATTCGGAAGATTCTGATAAAGCTCCTCAACTTAGTGAATTACGCAATCTTGAACGACTGTCCTTTAACATTGAATTGGGCCCTCTACTGAGAAAGATAGATCGAAAAAGAATGCTCACTACATAACCCGTGGGTCAACGCTCTAAGCTCTCTGCTTTTCGTGTGGGTTCCTGAACTGCCTACCTATTTGGGAGAGTGCAAACGAGTCAACCTCATTCTCGTTTCCCTCAAAACTTACCTTAAATCACCACCACCATCATTACCAACAACTCACTAAGTTTTACTAACAGGCTCTAAAACATGAAACCATCGAGCGGCTCTAGTATTCCTAGTAATGGGTCGCTTCATAAGCAACCCACGAAACCAACAGTTCACCCCGTTGTCCCCGTCAACCAAGATGTCAAAGCTTACTTTGCCGAGGCAGTCCTCGATAATTCCCAGCCGTGGCTTCTGAATCCAGAAATTCCATCACCTGATGAGATAATGGGAACTGGATCTGAGACTGAATTCGTTGATCTGCTGCCAAATCGGATCGTAGGTCCCTGGAGCTCGAAGAACGAGTATCTGAAAGCCCACTATGAGTTGCTTAGAGAAGACTCAGTTGCTCCCCTACGGGACGCTGTAGCGTACGTTCGAGAGAATCCAGAGATGCAAGATACGAATACCGTATCTATCTACGAGAAGGTTTGTACCTCTTTCTCGCTCGGCTTCATTGAGGGATCATCTAAATCGTGTGGCTCTAGGTACACATTGTAGGTATTACATTTACACAACAAGGCTTGGCGACTCGAATCCAGTTTTCGACCATTAGATCGGGAAAGAACATTGTCTGGGAATATTCTAAGCGCCTACGGACAGGCACCATCGTTGCACTTTCTCCGACGGTTGATTCGTTCAGAAATAAATGTGTTATTGCTGTTGTGGCAGCCCGGCCACTAAATGGTGTAAAGCAATGCCCTCCAGAGATCGATCTTTATTTCGCGCGGTCTGTGGATGCAGAGTTCGATCCACATCAGGAATGGGTCATGGTTGAGGCCAAAGATGGCTACTTCGAGTCCATGAGACATACGATGACAGCTTTACAGAAAATGAGCCGAGAAAAGTAAGATTTCCATCCTACTAAGAGTATTAAAATTGAACGTAGCTACTAACAGTTTCGACAGGTTTCCACTCGCCGAACAAATCTGCTTACTCCATCCTAATACCGAAACTCCCGAGTATGTCAAAGCAGGTCCAGTCATGGACATACAGTCCGCTATCAGTCCATCTGGAGAAGAAGGCAAAATTAATGTTCTAGAATACTGGCCTAAGTACCCAACAGGTGATCTGGATGCCACCCAATGGAGGGCTTTGGAGCAAATGCTTACAAAAAGCCTTGCCGTTATCCAAGGGCCCCCAGGAACCGGCAAAACATTCGTCTCTGTGATTGCGTTGAGGATTTTGCTCTCCAACATGAACCCAGGAGATCCGCCTATAGTCATCGCCTCGCAGACAAACCATGCTCTGGATCAGCTTCTGAGGCACGTTTCTCGTTTTGAGAGGGACTATATTCGCTTGGGAGGCAGAAGTAATGACCCTGAGATCAAAAAGCGTACCCTTTTTGAAGTCCGACAAAATGAACCCCTTGCTACCATACAAGGCAGTGTTCTTGGACAGGCCCAAAAGCGATATAATAAATATCATCACACGATTGCTGATCTCTTGCAGAACTTCAGTGTCGAGAACGATGGCACTCTTCTTCCGCCTGAGTTTTTCACAAAGTATGGCCTACTGACTGCAACACAATGTGACTCTCTCGAGAAGGGGGCAAAGGGCTGGATACGACCCAACAATGAAGAAGATGTCTATCCCTTGATAGCCTGGCTTGGAGAGCAAGCGGTCCCATTCGAAGTACACTATTCAACTGAGAACTTCGGCTTCGATGAAGATGAGATTGATCTAGAGTATGAACAACTTAGAGAATTAGAAACCGACCAAGGGATCGAAGAGGAGGACCGTGAAGTTCTCAAGGGACCGTTCATTTGTCTTCGAGAAAGATTCTGCGGACAAAGTACTTCGGCCTCCGAAGAAGCTAGCCAAAAGTATCTGAAGGAGCCCGACCTGTGGAAGATACCTGTCAAGGCACGTGGAGGAGTATATAATACTCTTCGAAAACTGCTCAAGGATAAAATCAGGCGGAAGTTTCAAAGCTTGGTTACACTTAATACAAACAATTGCAAAGACATCCGCATTGGAAAGTGGGAACGGGACAATCATCTCCTCCGGGATGCCAAGCTGATTGGGATGACAACAACGGGCCTTAGCAAGTACCGAGCTCTTGTATCAAGTTTAAAACCGAAGGTTGTTTTGATAGAAGAAGCAGCCGAAGCCATCGAAGCACCGATAGCAGCTGCCTGCCTCGATTCTCTTCAACATATGATCCTTGTGGGAGATCACCAACAACTCAGGGGAAGTTGCTCGGTACAGGACCTTCAGGGTGAACCGCTCTTCCTGGACATTTCAATGTTCGAAAGGCTCGTGAATAACGGGATTCAATACGAGACTCTTAGAAGACAGAGGCGGATGGTACCAGAGATACGACGATTGCTGGAACCCATTTACGGCGAGCTTCAGGACCATGAGTCAGTTCTTGAACGCCCCAAAGTGCCAGGAATGGGGGATGTACGATCATACTTTTTTTCTCACAATTGGCCAGAAAGCAATGACAGCTTATCTTCGAAGTACAATGAGAAGGAGGCGGAAATGATTATAGGATTCTTCATGCACCTGGTGCTCAACGGCGTTGCTGTCAAGGATATAACCGTTCTGACATTTTATAATGGCCAGAGAAAAAAGCTGCTCAAACTATTCAAGGAAAATTCCTATCTCCAGGGTCAGTATGTGAACATTGTGACGGTTGATTCGTTTCAGGGAGAAGAAAACGAGGTAGTGATTCTATCGCTGGTGAGAAGCGGCCGGTCTACCATCGGCTTTTTATCTATAGAGAACAGAGTCTGCGTTGCGCTTTCGCGTGCTAGAAACGGCTTTTATATCTTTGGAGACTCTACAACGCTTGCTGATGCGGATTCCCTCTGGTGGCAAGTTGTCACCCTCATGGGAGGCAAGAACCCAAAACGAAGGCTTGGTTTTTATCTACCTTTAACATGCACCAAACATGGAAATGTGATATACAAGAAAGGTCTGTGTTTCCTACGTCCTCTTTAGCGGTTTCCATTCATGACAAATGCCAGCAGATCCCTCTGATTGGAACACTGCCTACGGAGGATGTGACCTCTCATGTAACGAGCGTCTAGGCTGTGGACACAGATGTCCACTATCATGCCATAGGTACCTGAAGCTGCGCGAACTGTCCGAGCAACTAGATAACAGTGCTGACCGTGTGGGTTTCTAGTTTCTCCCATGATCAAGTCAAGTGCATTGAGGTCTGTGGTCGACAGATGCGATGTGGTCACAAATGTGATAACCCCTGCTATGAGATTCACACCTGTTTCTGTGGGTGCCCGTTGAACTCCGCCATTGAGTGTAACTCGGAAGCTGCTGGGGGTTTGCTCTCTAGAAAGGATGGATGTATATTTGAGGACGACAGCCACCGCCAGGCTGCCATTCGAAGCTACCAAGCCTTCGCAAAGGGTGGATCCAAGGAACAGGACGAACGACTTCTCCGGATGGCTGAGTTAAGCATGTAGAGCGGATATCAAAGGTGGCAGGATGTGTGGCGCAAGCATTTCTTTTGTGATATCTATTTGCACTGGCGCCAGGGGTGAGGTAAAGTTATGACTGAGAATTTACCCTGTGAAACTTATGAATGTTTACTATCCGAAATCACCCATCTCTCTCTCCATCTTTCCAAATGTTGAGCTATCTCTCATGTAGTATGCTCCAGGGCACCCCTACACCAATCCGGCCTACTTTGCACCTCAACAAGCTGTTGGTAGCGGTGAATATCAATTTACCTAGTATGTACAGTAGATCGAACACCAGAATCATGAGGTCTATAATCGTATAAGTCCCTCCACAAACTCCAAACCATGCCAAGAGAACGAAAATACAAAAGTCCAGCTATGTGTCAACGACTTAAGACAGGGAACGGTGGGTTTCAGTACTGAGACAGCATCGAAACATTCCCTTACAGGCCCCTTGTCTTCTCGGGATCCATCTGGACCTCGTCCCCACTAATCTCTTTGACGGACTCAAAGGCAGGCTTCCCAGCATATAGCTGTTCAGGCTTGTTCCGGTTCCCGCCTTCCATTTCGCTGGCACCAGCGAGTGGCTGGTTTCCGCGGAATCGCTTGCGCATATCAATCAAACCCCGCCTGGATGAAGATTGAAAGTTAGGTCCGGTTTCGGTATTTTAGGTCTTCCATCGAGGGTACGCATGACTCACTTGCACTCGCCGAACCCTTTCCGCAGCTGTTGGCATCGCATGGGCAGTGTATCGACTAGCGGCTCGCTCAAACATTCACGGGGCGTGTGGCGCTGGACCATGATACAGTCGGATTCCTGGAGGCATTGGGCCAATGCATCGCCTGTAAGGTGATATCAAAGCATGGTTAGATTAGGGGGAACCTTTCAATCGCGGAGGGTAATATGTTGGCCGCAGGCTAAGCATGAGATTCGGGATTTGGTCTCGGAAGCGACGGTCGGTCACCCCGAATGGCTCGATAATTGAGAGAGCTGAGTAGTACTCACGGATGTCTTTGCAGGAGTTCGGCATTTTGCTTATAGGTAGGAAACCAGCCGACAAGGCAGAGGAAGGAAGACCTGCCAATCACTTGTCCGGCGCAAAATTAGACTCCAGGAAAAGAAGGCAAAAATGGGGCCATCCCCGGATTAGATAAGCAGCTATCACATGAAAATGCAAATGACGTCTGAGCGTTTCCTTTTCTTGGAATTTCTTTTGCTGGGGGCGTTTCGGAGATCTTCATTTATCTCGCTTCCTGGCGCATTTCTGCCTCTTTCCCCATGATGGAGTTCAGGCCTCGGGTAGTGCGATAGACTTGTTACCCTTCTATACCTATACTAAAGCTTCAGGTATAATTCGTTCATCATGGCGCGCGTGCCTGTGATTGGTCGACTGTTTTGGTTTGAATATCTGGCTCTGTTCGCTTCTTTGGTTCTGGTATTGCTGGAATGGATCATACATATTATTACATTTTGTCTTCGTAAGTTAGAGGAGTCGTGTTGGAATTCTCAAATTATTCGTTAACCTCATACAGCTGAAACCGTAATCAAGTTCTTTTACGACCGGTCGAAAACCATCTTCAACCTATTTATAACTCCTGAGGATGAAGGCAAGCGCAGTAAAGAAGAACGGATCGCCGCCGCAGTCGCACAGGCCTCCGACTTTGTAGATATATGCGCTTTGTTCGGTTATCAGACTGAGGAGCATATTGTCCAGACCGGCGATGGCTACCTGCTCGGCCTCCACCGCTTGGCCTACCGGAGAGGTGAGGAGAAGATGCGCGTCAATCAAGGAAAAGGGGGCGTTCGGAAGAAGGTCGTCTTCCTGCACCATGGGCTCATGATGTGCAGTGAGGTTTGGGTATGTTTGTCAGAAGAACAACGGTGTCTTCCCTTTCAATTAGTGGAAAGGGGCTATGACGTCTGGTTTGGAAACAATCGCGGCAACAAGTACTCGAAGAAGTCCGTGCGGTTTTCGCCCGGGTCTAACGAGTTCTGGGACTTCTCCATCGATCAGTTTGCCTTTCACGATATTCCCGACAGCATAAATTATATTTTGGAAGTCACGGGTCAGCCTTCTCTGTCGTATGTTGGGTTCTCGCAAGGCACCGCCCAAGCCTTCGCGACACTATCTATCCACCCGCTGCTGAACCAGAAGGTCGATGTTTTCGTGGCTCTTGCGCCCGCAATGGCGCCTACGGGGTTGCCAAACCATTTCGTTGACTCACTGATGAAGGCCTCGCCGAATTTCTTGTTCCTTCTCTTCGGTCGACGTAGCATCCTCAGTTCGACAACGATGTGGCAGACGGTCCTCTACCCGCCTATCTTCGTTCAGATCATCGACAAGTGCCTTGACGGACTCTTCAATTGGAAATGCCGGAACATCAGTCGCTGGCAAAAGCTAGCGGGATACCTACATCTATTCTCCTTCACCAGCACCAAATCCGTGGTTCATTGGTTTCAGATCATCCGACACAAAAATTTTCAATTCTACGACGACGAGGTCCACGCTCCATTCAGCGTTGTCGCTAGCGAGCGATTTTATAAGCCGGTCAAGTACCCTACCAAGAACATCAAGACGCCCATTGTGCTACTGTATGGAGGCAATGACAGCCTCGTGGATATTAACGTGATGCTGAAGGAGCTGCCACACGGGACCACGGCCAAGATCATCCCGAAGTACGAACATCTCGATTTCTTGTGGGCGGTGGACGTAGAGCAACAGGTGTTCAGCCATGTCTTCGAGGCTCTCGAACGGTACAGCGGCATCACCCAGCTTGAGGGGCCGATGACGGGCCTGATTAACGGAGATGCGGGGCATGCGATCGCGATTTAGGGGATAGAGATGCATTAGATAGCATGAGTTATGATTCGTGCAAAGTATATACCGGCGCGTATCCGGACTGAGGTTGGTTTGTCTATAATGGTGTATGTTAATACCTTCACGTTAGCGCTCATTTCTCTTTTTTGGTTCTCCTTTTCTTTCTTCGTTCCTGAACACGTATGGCGACCGCCATGGCCTGTTTGTCGTACAGCACGTAAGTCGAGGCCGCTATATTATCTCATATTATGATATCATCTACGCAATAGAAGGAGGGCAATGACCAGTCGCACGCCGTTCGACCTCGCTTGACACACAGTGTGGGCCGTCGAATGTGATACATTGATTTAAGGTCGAACTGACGTCCTGGCATTCATTTAGACTACTGGTCAGAGCCAACGCCCCCTTCTCATATCAAGTTACATCTGTCGTTGAGTTTGCCTCCTGGAAATGTATCCCGTTGGACCTATCGACCGGTCCATCACATGGACACTGCGTCGTACTTCTTGTGCCCAATCGTCGCCCCCTGGATGTCCCAGTCAAGGGTCTGGCCATTGGTTTGTTTGGTGCCTGACAGCGTGAGGTGGCCAAGTCTTTGGTCCGGATCCAGTTCCACTCATCCGGGAGGAGGGAAAGGTGGGTTTTTTTTTATTTTTTTTTTTTTTATTTTATTTTTGTGTAGTAGAGCCGAGGGGTTGGAAAAAAGGTGACAGGTAAAGTAAACCGTTTAGTTTAAGCGATTGGTCAGGGGACGGAGAGCGTTTCAGGATATACGGAGGAACGGAGAAGGGGGAGGGAGGGAAGAAAGGGAGTCATAGGCTAAAGGGACGTTATTATATCTCGAGGGTTGATTCCGACTGCCCCTTGTATGTTTCTATATTTCTGAGAACTAATGCCTTCCCGTCGTCCATCAAGGGATCCCTGAGAGATCTATATTTATTTTTGACAGGACAACGGGTTGACTCATACATGCTCTGGTACGTTGTTTACTCTTTTTCATTTTTGGGAGTTTGTTTTTCTAGCCCTGTATCCCATTTTCTTCAATAGTCAATTCGAAATTTTTTGGTCAGTCGGTCAGGTTGGGAATGGTTGGATGGAGCCCCGAAAGCAGATCATCAGGACCATCACCCCCAATGATTGGCAACCCGAGCTATGGCCGAGTCGGACAATTCGTTGCTTTCTCTTCGTCTCCTGCAGATACTCTGGTGGGAACTATTTGGTTTTCCCCCTAAATCGGGCCTGGTGACCTTGATTTGGAGATCATTATGACTATTGTTCTCAAGGATCCAACCACCTGGACTATCTACAGGCAGAAGAAGAAGAAGAAGAAGAAGAAGAAGAAGAAGAAGAAGAAGAAGAAGACGAAGGGAGACAGCAAGCATTCCATAGATAGTGTTCATTCCTTGTTTTCTTTTTATTCTTTTTTTTTATAGATTGTTTGTTGGTCTATTTTCTTTCCCCCCGTTTTTATCCTCTCTCCCCTTGGTGATCCATTGATGGTATTCACCAGCCCCCTTGAACACTGATGATGGTGGGTTTTATTTCTTTTATGATTTTTATTTATTTCCCTCTCTCTTTTGGTTTTCGTTACTACGTGAATGAGCCCAAAAGGGGATAACGAAAATCCCAAACCACTGGGACTGGAATACTAAAGGGGGTTTTCCTAGGGTTCTCTAAACCTTTATCGGACTGGGCAGCGATTGATTGAGGAAAGTCCCACGAGAGTTAATCCTTTCCAGGTTTAACCACTGCTGGCTTAAAGTTTTCGTGCCAATTGTTGCGCACATTTGGGAAGCCTCTTTTTATTTTTTTTATTTTTATTTTTATTTTGTTAAAAACTGTTTATTATTTCTTTTCACTCACACCGCTTCGAATGTTGACAAAGTGAAAAAGGGAAAAGAAAGGAAACAATTAGGGCAAAAGGGATATCAAAGAATTAACAAGAAAAAGAAAAGAAAAAAAGGTAAAAGAACTACACACGTTAAGTTGACTCCCAAAATGAACAAAAGGATACAAGAAGTGATTGGAACCCAATTGAATAAAATGAAACCTCAGGGTTAAAACAAAATTAAAAAAGAAAACAAAAGATAAAAAAGAGGGAATTATGTACAATTTTTTTGTACTATTTCATTTATTTATTTTATTTTATCATTTCTTCATGTTATTTTTATTTTTATTTTTATTTCTTTTTCCTCTTTGACATGAACCCTCCGACTCGGATCCTTTCCACCCTTTGGCAATTCCTCTCAAAAAAAATCTCCCCACAACCGCGCGCTGACTTAGCTTCTAGTTCGGTCTTTAGTCTCCGGTAATCCACCTGAATTTCTGTTGACATCAACCGTTTTTCCTGCGCTCGCCTTCTCCGACCCCCTTTGACCCTTCACTCGAGTCCAAGTGATTGCCTCAGGTCCGGTGGCGCTGTCAATTCCACGACCTGCATATTATCCCCAATTTCCCCCCCTCCCTCCGTGGCATTGGTTGGCATTGGCATTGTGACCGATGTAACGCATCGCGTTATCGCTGCCTTTGCTCTTCCAGCCCACCCCCGCCCCCAAAGGGACCCAGTATCAGACCATCCCATTGCTTGAAATCGCGATTCATCACCGAGATCTTCAGTTGTTCACGAGACACGAATCTAACGAAGTGTACCCTTTATCTATTCATCTGATCTGGCCGGTTTGCGTGAATTGCATCGTCGCATCATACTCTTTGGTGGAGATTTAGGAGATACGGTATAGCAAAGATTGTGTTGGAAGAGGTCGATTGAACCAAGTATCGCATCGTCCCGGTCCATTCGAGGCACCAGAATAACTTCAGTTGATTGAGTGGGAACTACAATTGCTGTTTCAATGCGGCCGCAGTACGTCCTCCCAAAATGGATCCCTTTGCCCTGAACTTCATGCGCGCCGGATGCTAATGGCTTCACTCGATACAGACGGGAATATCATATTGTCGTGCTCGGCGCTGGTAGGCACCATCTGACAATTGACGATAGTTGAGGTCCATCGCTGATATCTGCTATTTCGTGCGCAACAGGTGGAGTTGGAAAGAGTTGTCTTACTGGTATATACCCTCTGACTCGTCGATGGACCTGACTCATGGGTCATCCCGTTCTGGGAAATAATTGTCACTTACACCGTACAGCTCAATTCGTCCAAAATGTGTGGATTGAGAGCTATGACCCCACGATCGAAGATTCATATCGCAAACAGATCGAGGTAGACGTAAGTGGATCATGTTACCAAACATGTCTTACGTTGCTGATTGTCATAGGGGCGACAATGCATTCTAGAAATTCTTGACACTGCAGGAACAGAACAATTCAGTAAGTCTCCCTGCAACGGTGCGACTCTGTCTTTTCCACTAACACAGCCCTAGCTGCCATGAGGTAAATCAGCAATCCGTCCCACTTCTTCAGTCCACTGGGGATCCACTACTGCGGCTATAGGACTGACACCTAACCACTCACTTCCTTTTCAGACCCGCATGCTAACCCTGACTCACAGAGAACTTTACATGAAACAGGGCCAAGGGTTTCTCCTGGTATTTTCCATTACGAGCATGTCCTCGTTGAACGAGCTGTCCGAACTACGAGAACAGATCATCCGCATCAAGGATGACGAGAAAGTCCCCATCGTCATCGTAGGTAATAAATCCGACCTGGAGGAGGATCGCGCGGTGCCCCGTGCTCGCGCCTTTGCCCTCTCCCAGAGCTGGGGCAACGCTCCTTACTATGAGACATCGGCTCGCCGACGAGCCAACGTCAACGAGGTCTTCATTGACCTCTGCCGACAGATCATCCGAAAGGACCTGCAAGGCAACTCCAAGGGTCGCGACGAACCGCCCAAGCGGGAAAATTCGAATCGACCCGATCGCAAGCGAGAACGACGACAGAAGACGAAACGTAAAGGACCTTGTGTGATTCTATAAATTAACGAATGTTATAAATGAAGGAGGGGCAGGAGACCAACGACTCGCTCCTCAATCGTATTTGAACCAACCTACCTCACATCTCGACGCATTTCTCAAGCCACCGGCTCACATCCTATCTGCACATACATACTACATATCTTCACCCATGCTAATGTTTTCAATCATCATATGCCCATCCAATGATAGATATATGTCGGTTCACAACCATTCAACTTTTTTCGTCTTACTTCCAATTGATACGTCTTCAACTGTTATTTTACTTCAAGGAATGAGAAAAAGTTGCATCTGTCTTCGTTTTCCCTCCGCATTGGCATTCACCAACCCCTTTATTGATATAGAGCAGTTCATTTTATAACTACGCCGCCATTCTTTGTTTTTTTTTTTTTTCTCTTTTATTTTTTGCGAGCTGATAAAAGCAAACCAACCAAGGAAAAGAACCACACTATGCTTGTCTTTTTCTTTTTCTTTTCTTCCTACAGAGTAGTTCCCCTCCTGAGTTCTCTCTTTCTACTCATTTTCTATAATTGCTTTTTCTTCTTTGTGCCTTATTTGGCCCGTTATTCCTTCCGACTTCTCCCCCTTTTTTCCCCTTCCCCCTTTTTCCCACTCCCTTGATCAAATTTCCGTCCTTTTCGAAACTAGCAGTAGTCTGTTCAACGCGAAGTAGATTATTAGAATGGGATATTCATTTTCTTTCTTATTCGCTCTTCCTTTCACACCATAAATTATAGGGACTATCATAATAAGCAACTTAAGATTTCTTCCAAGACTGAAACCCCCTCTTCTTCACCCTAACTCATGCAAACCCTCTCACATAAGAAAAGAACTCAGAAAAGTATAACCATTCATTTCTAATATACCAACCAACCATACATCACATAAACCTCAATATCCATGTAAAAGACAAAGATATATAATAGTAAGAAACAATCCACCCCCCAAAGACCCAGTTACACATAAGACCCAGACGTAGAACCTAGACTTTAGTAGAACAGATAAATAGATATAATATATTGTCACTAACGTAAGTGAACTACATCCGGAAAACACCAAACCGCGTCTGCACATCCTTATCAACCCTTCCACCCAACGACGCCGCCAAACTCAATCCCAGAACGCGTCTCGTTTGCGCAGGCGGGATAACGCCGTCGTCCCAGAGACGGGCGGAAGAGAAAATTGCTTCGGATTCGTGGTCGATGCGAGCTTTCAGGGCTGGGTCTGCGGTGCGTCCGACTGCTTCCATTACTGAGGAGAGTTGTTCGGAGCCCATTACCCCGATTTTGGCGTTGGGCCACATGAACATGAGCCTTGGGGAGTAGGCGCGGCCGCTGTTTTTTTGGTTGTTTGTTAGTGTTTGTTTCTTTTGGTTCTTTTGTGTTTTGGGTTTGTCTTAGTAGGCCTAAGGGAGTGTGTGAGTGTGTAACTTACCACATGCCGTAGTTACCTGCGCCAGCGCTGGAGCCAAAGACAACGGTGAACTTGGGTACATCGGCGCAGGCTACTGCCGTGACTAGCTTCGCGCCGTTTTTGGCGATGCCGCCCTTTTCGGCGTCGGCACCGACCATGAAGCCGGAGATGTTCTGGAGGAAGATGAGAGGGATGTTGCGCTGGGCACAGAGCTCGATGAAGTGGGCTCCCTTCAGCGAGGACTCGGAGAAGAGGATACCGTTGTTGGCGACGATACCAACCTGGTGGCCGTAAATGCGGGCGAAGCCTGTGACGAGGGTGGTACCGTAGTCGCGCTTGAATTCGGCAAATTCGCTGCCGTCAACGATGCGGGCGATGACTTCATGGACGGGGATCTGGCGGCGGAGGTTGGTGCCCACGATGCCGTTTAGTTCGGCGGGGTCGTAGAGGGGTTCTTTGATAGTGCTGTCGTCGAGTTTGAGGGGCACGCTGGTTTTGGGGTAGTTGAGGTTGGCGATGGACCTGCGGGCGAGGATGAGGGCGTGAGCGTCGTCTACGGCGAGGTAGTCTGTTACGCCAGAGATGGTGCTGTGCAGTAGACCGCCGCCCAGATCTTCGGCGGAGACTTCTTCGCCTGTGGCAGCTTTGACGAGGGGAGGACCAGCCAGGAAAATGGTGCCTTGGTTCTCGACGATGATGGTCTCATCGCTCATGGCTGGGACATAGGCACCTCCTGCCGTGCAGGGTCCCATCACCACAGAGATCTGGGGGATGCCCATTGAGCTCATCCGAGCTTGGTTGAAGAAGATGCGGCCGAAGTGCTCCTTGTCTGGGAATACGTCGGCTTGATGGGGGAGGTTGGCACCGCCAGAGTCCACAAGGTAGAGACAGGGGAGTTTGTTCTCTTGGGCGATTGCTTGCGCTCGGAGATGTTTTTTTACCGTGATAGGGTAGTACGTGCCTCCCTTGACAGTGCTGTCATTGGCCACGATCATACATGTTACGCCTTCGACGGTTCCAATTCCAGTAATAATACCACCGGCAGGAACGTCTTCGCCTGGGTATACTTCGTGGCCGGCCAGCGGGGAAAGCTCCAGGAACGATGTGCCGGGATCGATCAGGGCTGTCACCCGATCTCGAGGAAGCATTTTGCCTCTGGCAATGTGCTTATCCTTTGCTTTTTGTGGCCCACCCTGGGAGATGGTGCTATGTAGATTGCTCATCCGATCTACGAGCTCCTTCATCTGCTCGGCATTCTCCTTGAAATCAGGCGCGGACGTGTCTACCGCCGTGGGCAGAACCGATATGGCTGAGGCATGATGCGGATGCGTATAGCTCGCAACTGTCCTGAGAGATGTTTTAGAGGAGACTGTAAGTGGAAAGCGAGGCGTGAGCAGTCGTCGCGAGTAAGGCAGCGATAGCGACGTTTTGGAGCTCAAGCTCCGCAGGAGCGGAGACGGTGCACGCATTGCGGGGATAATCTAGGGAGAGTAAAAGACGAAGTAGCACCGCGAAACACCAGGTTGAGTTATCTCATGGTCCTGTCCAGAGCTTTATGAGAGCAGCCAAGTGGGAACAATGGCCGATGAAGGAAAAATAGACGAAGACAATAGGCGTGGGGAGGAATATGATCGAATGTGACCCCGGAATTGAAGTTGCGGAGAAACAAACTGCGACGATTGCCGTGTTTAGCCGCGGCTGGCATCGGCCTCCGCATTTGTGGATGGACTTGCGACTCTTGCGACTGACTTACTTCATTCTTCTCAGCTTGTTCGTCTAATTTCCCTTCCACTTCCCCTCCATATCTCTTTTTTTTTTATTTCTTTTTTTTCCTCGGTGTAGATTTACCGTGTAGAGATACCTTTTTTCACAATGGCTGCCGCATCCCGTCTCCCATTCCTCTTCCGCAGTACCTCCAGGTCCCTGGGATCAATCAGGAAACCCCTCATACAGATCCCCGCATCACGGACGTTCGCATCAAAACACCCCAAGGGCTTTGTGCCGCCCACCGAGGATGATCTACTGGAGCTACGGGAACGTGTGCAGGAATTCACCAGTCAGTATTCTTCCAGAGACGTTCTGTGTTCCGCAATCTGACCATGAGCGCAATCAAGGGCGTGAGATTACCGAGGAAGTAGCCGCCAACACCGACGCTCAAAATGAATTCCCGGCAGAGATGTGGAAGAAACTTGGTGATGCTGGGTAATTATAAAATCATACTGCTGGATCATTATTTATCACAGGCGACTCTAATTCCATTGTTAGATTCCTGGGTATCACTGCCAATGAGGATTATGGCGGCCTCGGAATGGGCTACCAGGCGCACTGTATAGTTATGGAAGAGCTTAGTCGTGCATCAGGTATTACATTCTTCCTGTTACCACATTACTAGATATGGACTTTGTTCGTATTCTAATTGGGGCGTGTTATAGGAAGTATTGCATTGTCGTACGCTGCGCATTCCCAGCTTTGCGTCAACCAGCTCTCTTTGAACGGGTCGCCGGAACAGAAGGAGCGATTTTTGCCGGGACTCCTGTCTGGTGACAAGGTTGGTGCTCTGGCTATGTCGGAACATTCTGCAGGCTCGGATGTTGTCAGTATGAAGACGACGGCTAAGGAGGTTGACGGTGGCTACGTGCTGAACGGGACCAAAATGTGGATTACGAATGTGAGTTGCGTAACCTATTTTCAGAGGGGCATGTTAAAGAGGCTAAACTTTATTATTTCAGGGCCCTGACGCCGATTTCATTGTCGTCTACGCCAAAACAGAGCCCGAGAAGGGCTCCAAGGGAATCACGGCATTCGTTGTCGAAAAGACATTCGATGGATTCTCCTGCGCACGGAAACTCGACAAGCTTGGAATGCGCGGCTCAAACACCGGAGAGCTTATCTTCGAAGATGTGTTCGTCCCCAAGGAGAACGTCCTCGGTGAAGTAAACCGCGGTGTCAAGGTTCTCATGGAAGGTCTCGACCTGGAACGTCTAGTCCTCAGCGCCGGTCCCCTGGGGTAAGTTCTACTACTAAGACACTATATATTTACAAGCGAGAACACCAGAACTTACCGTGATGAACGATATCCAGTATCATGCAAGCCGCCCTTGATCTCGTCCTTCCCTATACTCATGTCCGCAAACAATTCGGAACACCCATCGCCCATAACCAGTTGATCCAAGGTAAGCTGGCCGATATGTATACAAAGCTTCAGGCATCGCGCGCCTACACGTACTCCACGGCACGGCACATTGATAACTCCGCGTCCCTATCTGAGGTGAGCATCCGGACACAGGACTGTGCGGGTGCTATCCTGTATGCGGCGGAACGGGCGACAGAGTGTGCACTTGATGCGATCCAGCTGATGGGTGGCAACGGGTACATCAATGAGATCCCCGCGGGACGGTTGCTTCGCGATGCGAAGCTGTATGAGATTGGTGCTGGAACCAGCGAAATCAGGCGGATGGTCATTGGACGGGCATTTAATAAAGAATATGCATAGATTCTCTCTGAAAAACCAGATACGTTCCTGTTTTAGTTGCGTTCGTTCTATCATGTCATATATAGCTGGCATTTGTTATATTTAGCCGCCCAAGGGCAGAGTGTTGAAATAAATACACAAAAATGATTTCATATCTTCATGGCCATTTCGGTCTATTTCTTGGCTTTATTTCTAGTGGACCGCCGTGTAGGACCTGACGCCGCTGGAGGGTCTGCGGCTTGACCTACTTTCTTCGATGCGATTCTCTTCGATCTAGTCGTAGTTTGATTTTTGTCTGCGTCCGGTTGGTCTAGTGCATCGGACGCTTTCCGTTTCCTTGTCCTAGTGGACGGCGCGGTTACAGATTTAGGTTTCTTTGGGCTAGACTCCTGCTCTTGCATTGTTGCCGATTGCAGATCAGATGACTCCAGTTCCATTCCCATTGAGTCATCGTATGGTTCAGGCGCCTCGATAGGAAATTCATGCTCAAGCATCTTAGAATTAACTGGCAAATCAGAGGCTGACTTGATCACCCTATGCGAGTGCACCGTCAACGGCGGAGAGAGCGATGGCTCAGCCGGAGTGGTAGTTTTCGAGAAACCATCAGACCCGACATCGGTCTCGCGAAGGCTTTCCAACGACGACGCAGTAGACGTATCATCGGAACTAGTATCGGCCCTCTTAGTGGCCGCCGGCACCCGAGGAGGTGCCATATCGGAGCCGACTTTTCGCATGCGCACCCGTCCAATCGCAGGATGAGACGACCGGAATACCTCGCGCCAATTCTTCAGAAGGGCCACCTTCTCTCCGTCGCCAGGTTCGTAGAGCTTGCGGGGTGGATTGTCATCGTGAGGCGTTTTCCATACCGTGCCCTGGAACGATGTGATGTCTGTCTCGGGGAGGGTTGTTTTGGGTATGGGTCCGTTTTGAACTGAAAGGTTCTTTTTCGCGGCGATAATGTCGTTCAGCTCTTTGATATTGTATTTGTTTGGCCAGAGGCCCATTGCTCGCTGGCGCCGTACGGCGGTTGGGTCTTCGTCGTAGTAATCGTCGGATTGGTCGTCCCAGTCGCTGAAATATTCCTCTACCTCGAGCGAGGGATCCTCGAAGAAGATAGCGTCATAGACTGCGGTTGCGGCCAGGTCATCCTACATGAGCAATTGGTTAGTTTCTTTGTCTGCGACTGTATGGTGCCCTTGATGTGGTGGTTGAGACTGACAGCGATCTCGGGATCCGGTTCCTCTATCCAGAAGATATCTTCGTCGTATTCATCATAGTAGTCTTCGTCATCAGACATCTTGGGTATAGTAAAGCGAAAGACCGTCAAATATAGGGTTCTAAGGCGTATACAAGATTGAGAACAGAAATGGTGGGAAATTGCCAAGTCTAATGGGTATCACTAAAAGGGAAAGCAGATACAAAGACCAGCAGAGTCGCATCAGAGCTAAAAAAAAGATGAGTCAGCTTGTCCAGAAAAAAGTCGGACAAATTCCAGAGCGACCGTAAGACCGAATCAGATGGATACGTTGCAAGCCACCAGGACAAATGGACCGGTGACGTCGGAGGAGTTCGCTGATCGCGTCTTTCCGGCGATGAAAAAAAGGATTAACTGCGCTGCAAAAGAAGTGGATCTCAGATATCATCACGTGCCAGGTGTTTCCCCGCAGCTTCGCTTTGCGTCGGCTCAAGAGGTCCCGTCTGGGGGAACAGTAGTACTTCCATGCAACTTAAGCTGCCTGTCTTCTAATTTTTCCCCGAGAGCTCTTCCTGTTTGTTCTTTTGAAAGCTGTGTGATTTTACGCAGAATATGCTGCTACCCTCCTATATCCTCTGTGGTGTTGATTCAATTTTGTGATCTTAATTAGCAGCGTCTCTTTACAATGCCACTCTCGTCCCTTCTCCGCACTGCTTCCCGTCTGAGACCGACGGCCGCTCAGAAAGCGAGAAGAGCTGCATCTACAGTGTCTTCGAGTACCCCCAAAACACAGAATTCATTGGATTCGATTCTCATCGCAAATAGAGGAGAAATTGCTTTGTATGCTTGGAAATTGTGCCGTGCGCTGTTGTCCTAGTACTAACCATTCCTTCACCTTAGACGAGTCGGACGTACCGCGGCTCAACATGGTATCCGCGTAACTACGTTATACACAGATCCCGATAGCCGGGCTCAACATGCATTGAGTTCCCCATTCGCGTTCAATCTAGGATCGGTTTCAGCTTACCTCGACGGAGACCGTATCATTGAGATTGCGAAGCGGGAGGGCTGTCAAGGGATACACCCAGGCTATGGTTTTGTATGCTTTTCTAAAGAGACAATGTGTATCAATGTGCTAACCTGTCTTTAGTTGAGTGAGAATTCGGAGTTTGCGCGAAAATGTACGGAAGCCGGGCTGGTCTTTATTGGACCTCCATGGAAGGCCATCGAGGACATGGGGGATAAGAGGTAAGTCAATTACTCGGCCTAGTTGTCCCATACATCTTACTGACAGTCTTTGAAGCCAGTCTAAGAAGATCATGACGGCGGCAGGTGTGCCTTGCGTTCCTGGTTATCACGGTCAGAATCAAGATCCCAGCTTCCTCGAAGCCGAAGCGGATAAGATCAAATATCCTGTGCTCATTAAGGCAATCAAAGGAGGTGGTGGAAAGGGAATGCGTATCGCTCATAGCAAGTCTGAGTTCCAGGCTCAACTGCAATCTGCGAAGTCAGAAGCCATGAACTCGTTCGGAGATGACCATGTGTTGGTGGAGAAATACATCACCACGCCACGCCACATTGAAGTCCAAGTGTTCGCAGACAAGCATGGGAATAGCGTGGCTTTGGGAGAAAGAGACTGCAGTATACAAAGACGGCATCAGAAGATTCTCGAGGAGTCACCCGCTCCTCACTTGCCTGATGCCACGAGGAAAGATCTCTGGGCAAAGGCACGGGCGGCTGCTGAGGCCGTAGGCTATGAAGGTGCCGGTACCGTTGAATTTATCTTTGATAATGATACCGGCGAGTTCTTCTTCATGGAGATGAACACCAGACTTCAGGTTGAGCATCCGGTGACTGAGATGGTCACTGGCCAAGACTTGGTCTACTGGCAACTCAAGGTGGCCGAAGGCGCTAAGCTTCCATTGACCCAAGAGGAAGTAGAAGCTTACATGGCGAGCCGTGGACATGCCATTGAGGCGAGAATCTATGCAGAGAATCCCGATCAGGGATTCATACCTGATTCCGGCACACTGCTGCACGTTCGCACTCCTACCCCCTCAGAGGATATCAGAATAGACGCAGGCTTCGTCGCCGGCGATGAAGTTTCAGCTCATTACGATCCAATGATTGCCAAATTGATCGTGAGAGGCAATACGCGACAGGAGGCACTCCGCAAGCTTGCGTCTGCACTAGAAGAGTACGAAGTTGCGGGACCAATTACCAACATCGAGTTCCTGAAGACGGTCTGCAAGAGCCCTGATTTTGTCGCCGGGGAGGTAGAAACTGGATACATTGAAAAGCATCGCGAAGAGCTGTTTACTCGTGAGGCTATCGAACCGGAAGTGCTCGCACAGGCTGCATTGGCTTGTCTGCACCACGACTCTGCCCCGGTCGCTCGGCAGCAGGCAAATTTCGAAGGCTCTGCTGTCGGATTCAGCCCAAGCTATCAATCACGGCAGATAACCTTTGCGGATCTGACGCCTGGAGCCAAGGATGGCACCAAGTTTGATGTTCGTGTTCAACAAACGGATGACAATACATTTAATGTAGAAGTTGGCGGGCGCACGTTTGAGCAGGTGGTCAGCCACAACAACCCCGGGTCGCATATCGTGACCTCTTTCTTCCCCCACACACGATTGGACACCACCGTAATCCGTGATGGCGACTCCGTTATTGCTTTCCAGAAAGGGACGCAGTATCGTTTGACGATACCACGGGCCAAGTGGATGGACAAAGCACTGGGAATGAAAGATGTAACCAACAGCGTTCTAGCCCCAATGCCGTGCAAAGTGTTGCGTGTGGAAGTTCAGGCAGGCGACGTGGTGGAAAAAGACCAGCCATTGGTGGTTATTGAGAGTATGAAAATGGAAACGGTCATCCGCAGTCCGCAAAAGGGAACCATTTCAAAAGTGGTACATAAGAAAGGAGTAAGTCACGCGGACCATTCCCCTGCACGAACATTAACATTGCCCGGCTATTTCTCAATGTTTGGAGCTATTGGTGTGACTATTTGTAACGAGACCATGGATTCGGCCCGGTGTGGGCATGCTTTCCCGTTTCCCCCCACTCCTTTTTTCTCTTTAAGATTTTTGGCCGACTCGGTGGCCGGGGTCTGGGGTTTGGCTGGAATGGTCGGGCAACTTCCTTCACTTCTGTGTGGGAAGGCCGGGTTTCATGCACGGACCGGTCATCAAGCTTCCACGACCTTTCCGCCAGGCTTCGAAAATCTCCACCCACCCCAATTACTGCGAACGGACTGACTAACATGTGTACCTTGCAGGACCAATGTAAAAGCGGCACACCTCTGGTTGAATTTGCTGAAGAGAGCGGTGAAAACTAGGGAGAGTGCGGCAGATGTACGGTCGTGTATAAACAAGAAGGTAAGAAGAAAGTATGACTAGGGTACCCTTTCGCTCAAGGGGAGAAGAGAGTTAAGGCCGTCGGTACTCTGGGGTCTGGTACGGAGACCGGCCCTCTTCCCCCGATGGATACCGGTGGATATCAAGGAAATGTTAAAACACATCCCTATGGAGACAGCTCCAATTTCTCTCTCCCGCGGTGGTAGCAGAATTTTCAATGAGCGGTGTTATCGCAATGGCGCTGTACAATTAGAATTAAGGCGCTGTCATGTGGACAACGGCACATGACTTCGGTAGTCTAAATCAATGGATCTAGTATTCTGTGTCGCACAGCCGAGAAGTTTAGATTCGTAGTATGCAGCACCGTGAGAATGGAACAATGAAGAGACCAGGCAAAGGGCAAGAACAAAACCAAAAAATAAGAATACAAATAAAAATAAATAAATAAAAATTATTGAAAAGTAAGTTGTCAGACCCGCAATCTCAGTGTGGGGCAAAACAACAACGGCAACAATCTATGGAATACATTTTGACAGGGTTGAACCCAAGGAACCTAGCTCCAGCTTCCATCCATAGAAGTGCAGAACCGGAACCCCACCACTCGGGCCAGGGATCCATACGTGGGACAACAATTGTGCGTGGTCTTTGGGTTGCAGACCGTGGCTTTTCCATCCGGGGAGTCGCTGCCTTAGGTCTCCAAGAACACCATACTTACTTTGCCCTAGTAGTTCACTGAGCTGTTGCATATACATCTTGGGCTTAGGAAAAGGGATAAAAGGGCTATCTTCCACCGCCATATTATAATTTCACTATAGGATGCTTCATCTAGGAAATTATCCTAAAATCCCTGACAGATTAAATTATATATCTGGTGTATCAAGGTTCTAAAGGGCGCATACCATCAGTAATGTGTAGTATACAGTTGCAATGTAATGATATCGATTTGGGAACGCAATTCTGATACGCCGAAGGCTTTCTTTAAAGCACAATTGCCACTTGCACATGGATTGTCGTGATGTAAAAAATGAACAAGTTAGTCTGAGGGGATGTGGTGAAAGAAGCTCTAGGGAAAAGGGCTATCTAAAGCGGAGTGGATGAGCTTTGTCAAGAAGTATGAAGCCCAAAGCTGTAAAAAGAATTCCGGCTTAGCAGCACAGGCCAGACATAAACCACAAATACCAGGGTCTCCCAAAATAAAGAATATGGCGCTGCTTTTGGACCTCCAATTAGAAACGCACATACATGAAAGCAGAGCCACGCAATGTATATCATCTGTGACTTTGTTGATAGATTACTAGGCCGGCAGGGATTGGGCGAGCTTGTTCAGCTCTACACAAGATATATGCAAATCAATGCTTACGACGAGAATCACTTAGGAGTAAGTTTATAAAGGCTTAGAACGATTGAATAGGAATCGTAAAGAGCCACAAAGTGAACAAGGCAAAAGAGTTAGACAAATTTAGCATTGTATGATTTTAAATCTTCATATAAACGTTTATGCCCGGCAACATTATTGATGCAAGCCCAATTCAATTGTGCCAAAGAGATGTTCATTACCACAACTGCAATCCAAATCCAGGAAATCGGCGTTGATTTACGATCCACATTCACTTGGTGAGTTTCATCATTGCCTGGTGCCCGTGGTCGAACTAGCTCGCCAAAGATAGCATTCCCTAGCTATATGCAGCTGCCACTAAAAATCATGTATCCCGACTACGTGGAAATAAAATATTGCGTCCACCCGTCTGGGCTAAGAAAGGGAGCCCGATTGTTGGCGTGCCTGACTCTGAAGGGCGAAAACCCTAAATAAACTGGCCTTTAGCCGCTATGCATTGCATTCTGTCCCACGCTATCAGATCTACTATGCTACTTCTGAAACGCTAGCCTCGCTAGGGAAGTAGTCCGTGAAGCCTTATATTGAATATGGAATCAGAAAGCTGGTCATGGTAATGGTGCCTGAGGTAGACGAGGTGTTGCCTGTAGAGCAGTAGCTGAAGCTATTCGACTAGATTAAAGGTTCTAAAACTTAATACCTGGTAAAAGGTAGAGATCATCTAGGTCTACTCACTAGACCTGATATGCAAAGACTGGAGCGGCAGATTGGTTTTGTTTGATATGTTATAAATGGCAAGATCCGACTCATGCTAGAACTTCAAATATATACCTGGAGGGGTATGTGAAACTTCTAGATTCTCTCCAGATGACATGTCGGCTTTTGTTCTACGTGACATGCAACATCTTGTGGCTTTATCAATATCAAGAATTTCGGTATATAACACTTATGCAATGACTATGATTTGGGGGTCTGAATCCATGAACTACCTGAGAGACAGCTTCTAGGATATACACGGCGGTGCTAAGTAAGCAGACATACACTACACCGAACAGGAATGCTATACTGATTGTAGTAATTCGTTATTATCAGAGTATTCGGAGGATCGTTAGCCCATAATGCGGCCCACTCTCACCACATCAATAGATTTAGCGCACAGGGTGTGTGGTCGAAAAAAAGTGTGGTTGGCTCTGTGGATTCCTTCGAGAAAAATGAGCAAAGTGGAGCCAGGGTAGCAGCAGTTCAGGAACTACACTAACATTGCCCCGACCCGAGTTTTACGTACTATGAAAATTAGGTAAGTAGGGCTGTGTTTTGTAGGTCGGGCCCAGGGCGGCTAACACGGACATACAAAGTACTAAGGGCACCACTGGATATCTGCGGTGTGGCAAATATAAAACATGGGGAAAGATGAAGTGGCTATGAAGATCTGTGCCTGATTAATTTAAATGGTGAGATTTGGATTTGAATAAGCAATCTTCTAGGTTGATGACAAAGTACGTGCAGTCTGGACTGTTGCATGCATGATACGCAGGGTATTGACATGGACGGCAAGTTTAATGATGGCGTTGGCGTGTGACGATAAGAGATTTCATCTTTGACTTTATCCTTTGTATTTTAAGAACGGGGCTGAGATTGACTTAGCCAATGATGACCTGTTTTGTGTGTTGTTGATGAACTGTTGTACGTAGCTTGGGTTTTGATATAGATCATGGAATGGAATTGAATTTCTGAGTTCAGGATTATTGCAGTCTTGCATTCTTTTATTGCATGCTCGGATACATAGCTTGCTCCACTGGGTCGAGTTGGTTTTGCAATTGAGGTATGAGCGTTATTAGTTGGAAGGAGAGGCCTTTGCGCTTCGTTCGTATGTCCTCGTATGATTATTTATTATCTAAATTGGTTATCGATAGTTATACTAACAGAAAGAAATAACTGAGCATAAGAAAAGAAACAATGAGTAAAACTTAATACTAAAAAAAGTGGAAACAATAGATAGTATGAAATAAAAATAATAATAATAAAAAATGGTAATAAATTAGTGTCAGATTGACTCCAGAAAACCCTTGGAAGGTTACTTAACGAGCGGGATACCGGGATTGGGATCGTCAAGAAGCCGGTGAAACTTCTGGAGGCGTGTTGGAGTCACGCGGAAGTCGGCGGGAGGCAAAGAAGAGCGCCGCCGATCCACTCACTAAGTCGATCCTGGTCAGATCGCTGCATGGCGGTTGGGGCCTGGCCCCCCAGGCCTCCATCACCGCCTGACATCACTTGATTCTGACTATCAAATTGAGAACAAGAATGGATGGGGAAAATAAAAAAATTAAAAAAGAAATGTGAAAAGGGCCATCCAAAAAGTACGTGGAATTTTCCCCAGTCCCCTGGGGATAGTGGATACTTTCCCCCCAGCCATTCCATCCTGAGAACCAGTCAATTTGGCCACGCTTGCAGTCATGGTGGTCCAACTTGCTGGTCCCTTGGGCGGTCGGTCACCGCAATTGCTCTGTTCCTCACATTCCCCAGCTCCTTTGTCCATTCAAGGTTTTTTATTTTTTTATTTTTATTTTTATTTTTTCTATTTCGATTATCGATGTTTTAGATTTTTTTGATTTAATTGTTGTTTCCCAATCCTTCGCCGCTTGTGGACACCTATACACATTTTCTCCAATCCTTGATTGATACTCCTCGGATTTCCCCTTTACCGTAAGAGAGGCGAACAACCCATCAGATTTTTCTCCCACCATTGTGTATTTCCTTGTTTTAGGGGGAAGGGACTACATATACTCCTGCTTCCCATCAACCTTGTGGACCATCTTCTCTTCTTCTATATATCTATTTCTCCCTACATTCATACCCTTTCTTCCCCAGATCGAGCGCCTCTAATTCCTCTTCTTCCCTGAGTACATAGCTATATTCTTAGCTAGCTCTCATTAATCATACACAATGTTCAAGTCACCAGCCGCTCGTCAAGCCGTCAAGGCTCTCAGCATTAACACACGCCCTGCCGCGGTAACAGCAGCATCACGGCCAGCGATGGTTAATACTTTCTTCCGAGGTCTCTCATCGACAGCTCCCCGTGCAAACGATGAGAAGTCGAAGGCAGCAAAGGACCCCATCTTGGCCGCCACTAACAAAGCCCCCGAGGGTGCCTTGGACACGGAGGGGCGTTTCGCCCGTGTCGATGAGAGTTTGCAGATCGAATACCCCGATGATGAGAACATGCCTCGCAGTCCTATCGTTCAGGGCCGCGGAGGAATGCACTTCAAGCGTACCCTGGCTCAATTTTCCCTAGAGAACAAGGTCACCCTGGTTACCGGAGGTGCCCGTGGTCTCGGGTTGGTCATGGCTCAGGCGATCGTTGCATCGGGATCGGACCTTGCCATTGTCGATCTTAACAGTACGTTCTAAGCCTTTGTGCACCAATTGGCTTTCATTAGTTTTACTAACTGGTTTTTTTTTTTTTTTTTTTGCAGAGGCGGAAGCTGAGGAGCAAGCCCAGAAATTGGTTGAGCAGTTCAGGAAGGAGAACCCCGGCTTGGAACAGTGAGTTATCTGATTGATCACATTTGACGGTAATTGTAAACGCTAATTGTTTGAATCTAGAATGCCTAACGTCACCGCCCACTACGCTGATGTTTCCGACCCTAACTCCGTCAACGAGGCTCTTTCCGATATCATCTCCAAGCACGGCAAGATTGACAACCTGGTCACCTCCGCCGGATTCACCGAAAACTTCGATGCCATCTCCTATCCTCATGACCGTCTACAAAAGCTTTGGGGCGTTAACGTTGATGGAACATACCTTTTTGCGACCGGGGTTGCCAAGCACCTCATGGAGCGCAAGGTTCCGGGCAGCATTGTCATGATTGGTAGCATGTCTGGTGCTATCGTCAACGTGCCCCAGCCTCAGGCTCCTTACAACGCCGCCAAGGCCGCTGTGCGTCAACTTGCCGCATCCTTTGCCGTCGAATGGGCCGGCCACGACATTCGTGTGAACTGCATCAGCCCTGGATACATGCTTACTGCTCTGTATGTGAAATTCCGTCTTCAGGGAGTTCGAACCGCGACTAACTGTGTTTCGCTGCAGGACCCGCAAGATTTTGGATGAGAACCCCGAATTGCGGGACAAGTGGATCTCCCTCATCCCCACCGGCAAGATGGGTACTCCCGAGGACCTGATGGGTCCCGTTACCTTCCTGCTCAGTGACGCCTCCAAGTACATGACCGGTGCTGATATCCGCGTTGATGGTGGCTACACCCTCACCTAGATAACCCGAAAAGGGTTGTACTTGTTTGTTTCTGATCTTATTTATCTAATATGGGCATGATGTATGGGACTGTTTTTGGATTCGTTATAGACCGGTTTGCTTGATTCTTGGGGGGTAACTCGGGCTTTGCTTGCTTGCTTCCATTCTCTCTCGATGTGATCTCTGACGACCCATCGGGCTGCATTACGACGACTATTTTTGTTCTGAAGAAGCATGTTGTTTTCCGGAGAATGTGTTTTGTTCTAAAAAGCGGGAAAGGTTGTATTTTTTGCTATGGAGTACCCAAAATCGCGGTCGGACTTTGGTTTTGCATGATAGACTTGTTTTTCTTTTCCTTTTTCTTTTCTTTTTTTTTTTTTTGGAAGCA